CACAAAATAACTTGCTGGGGTTTTTATTGGGATTGCATTGAATCAAACTGGGAAGAAATGACATCTTGACAATATCTGTTTGTTTAATTCTTCTTTGATTATGTTCATTAGAGTTTTGTAGGTTTCTTCATATAGGTATTGTACATGTTTTGCTAGATTTATACCTTTATTTTATATATTCCTATTTTGTGATCCTATTATATGGTAATATATAACAATATATAATACAATATTTACACATTTTATTTATTACAATTGTACCTATTTTATAATTTTGGTTGTACTCATGCAAATAGTATTATGTTTTTAATTTAAAATTTCACTTGTTCATTACTGGCATATTGGAAAACATTGACTTCTGTATATTTAGCCTTGTATCCTGCAACCTTACTGTAATCACTTATTAGTCCCTTGAAGTTTTTTATTGTTGTTAGTTCTTTCCTAGATTTTATTTTCTGCATAGATGATTATGTTACCTGCAAAGACAGTTTTATTTATTCTTTGTCTATCAGTGTACTTTTAATTTCCTTTTCTTGTCCTATTCTGTCAGCTAGAACTTCCAGTATGATATTCAAAGGCAGTAGTGAGAGAACATCTTTGCCTTGTTCTTGATATAAATGGGAAAAATTTGAGTTTCTTACTATTAAATATAATGTTAGTTGTAGATTTTTAATTTTTTTTTATTAAGGAAATTTTTCTTGATTCCTAGCTTACTAAGGGTTTATTTTATTTATTTTATTTTTTTTATTTTTTGAGACAGAGTCTCACTCTGTCACCCAGACTGGAGTGCAGTGGTGTGATCTCAGCTCACTGCATACTCCACCTCCCGGGTTCAAACGATTCACCTGCCTAAGCCTTTCAAGTATCTGGGATTACAGGCATGTGCCACCATGCCCAACTCATTTTTGTATTTTTAGTAAAGATGAGGTTTTGCCACGTTGGCCAGACTGGTTTCAAACTCCTGGCCTCAAGCGATCCACCCACCTTGATCTTGCAAAGTGCTGAGATTACAGGTGTGAGCCACTGCACTTGGTCTTATTTTTTAATCATAAATGGGTGTTGAATTTTTGTCAAATGCTTTTTTATATTTTATTTTTTTCCTTCATTTATGTAATGGATTAAATTAATTGATTTTGAAATGTTGAGCCAAGCTTGCATATATGTTACAAATTCTACCTGGTTGTGGTGGTAATATTTTTTTGAGAATTTTAACATATATGCTTATGAGAAATATTGGCCCATAGTTTTTTTTTTCTTTGAAAAATTTTTTAATGGTTTTAGTATTAGGGTAATGCTGGCCTTTGGGAATGAGTTAGGAAGTAGTTCTATCTTCTGAAAGAGGGTACAGAATTGATGTAATTTCTTCCTAAATGTTGGGAAGAATTAACCAGTAAATCCATCTGTGCCTGGTGTTTTCTGTTGTGGAACGGTAATTATTGATTAAATTTCTTTAATAGATATAGGACTATTCAAATCGTTTTTCTTCTTGTACGAGTTTTGGCAGATTGTGTCTTTCAAGGAATTGGTACATTTCTTTAATGTCATCAAATTTGTGGGCATGGAGTTGCTTATATTATTCCTTTTAATGTCCATGGGGTCTGTAGTGATGTTCCTTTTTTCTGATATTAGCAATTTGTGACTTTTCCTTTTTTCTTAGTTAGCTACCTAGAGGCTTTTTGATTTTGTTGAACTTTCCAAATAACCCATTTTTTGGGTTGTTGTTGATTGTTCTTTATTGATCTCCTGTTTTCAGTCTCATTGATTTCTGCCCTAGTTTTTGTTATTTCCTCCTTCTGCTTACTTTGGACTTAATTTGCTCTTTTTTTCTAAGGTGGAGGCTTACATTAATAATTTTAGATCTTCTTTTCTTTTTGAAAGTTAATATCAATATTATTTTAACTGGAAAAATATAATTTTATATATCTATGGGGCACAATGTTATGTTTTGATATATATGTACAATGTAAAATGATTAAATCAAGCTAATTAACATAGCCATCATTTTTGTTGTTTACCTATCATTTTATTGTGAGACATCTGAAATTTACTGTGAGTTATTTTGAAATACACAATACAGTATCATTTACTGTAGTCACCCTGCTTTGGAGTAGATGTCAAACTTATTCCTCCTGTCTACCTGAGATTTTGTACTTTTTGATCAACAACTCCCCATTCTCTCCCTTATTCCCACCCTATCCTCTGTTAACCATCATCCTAATCACTACTTCTGTGAGTTCAACTCAGAGAATATGTGACATTTGTCTTTCTGTGCCTGGCTTATTTCACTCAGCATTATGTCCTCCAGGTTCATCTACACAGTCACGAATGACAGAATTTTTTTCTTTTAAAAGGATAAATTGTATTCCATTATGTGTATATTCCACATTTTCTTTATTCATTCATCCCTTGCTGGACCTTCCTTTGTTCCATATCTTGGAGACTGTAAATAACGGTGCAATAACATAGGAGTGCAGATATCCCCTTGACATCTTGATTTCAATTTCTTTGGGTGGGATTGCTGGATCATATGGTAGTTCTATTTTTATTATTTTTTGAGGAACCTCCATAACTTTTACCACAGTGGCTATACTAAATTGCATTCCTACCAACAATATAGAAGAGTTCCCTTTTCTCCGCATCCTTGGCATCATATCTTACCTTTCATCTTTTTGATGAAAGCTATTCTAAAAGATGTGAGATGATATCTCATTGTGGATGTAATTAATTTGTGTTTCCCTAGTGATTTGAGTGACTGAGAATTTGTTTTATATATCTGTTGGCCACTAGTGTGTCTTCTTTGGGAAAATATGTATCCACATCCTGTGTCTATTTTTAAATCGGGTTTTCTTGCTATTGACTGGTTTGTGCTCCTTACATATTTTGCATGCTAACTCCTATCAGATGTATGGTTTGCAAATTCCCTTTTACTGATCTGGAAGTGGTCTCTTCATTTCCTTAATTGTTGCCTTTGCTGTGCAGAAGGTTTTTAATTTGATGACGTTCTATTTGTCTATTTTTACTTTTGTTCTCTGTGCTTTTGGGATCATATTAAAAAATCATTGTCTAGACCAACGTTGTGGAGCTTTCCCTCTAGTAGTTTTACAGTTTCAGGTTTTTTGTTGAAGTTTTTAATCCATTTTGAGTTGATTTTTGTATATGGGGTAAGATAAGGATCTAATTTCATTCTGCATGTTGATAACCCAACACCATTTGTTGACTCTATGGTCCTTTTCCCATTTTGTGCTCTTGACACTGTTGTCCCAAATCAATTGATTGTAAATGTGTAAGTTTTTTAAAAATAACTTTTATCTGCTCCATTAGCTGATGTGTCTGTTTTTAGGACAGTATTATGCTGTTTTGATTATAATTACTTTATAATATATTGTAAAGTCAGGGATTGGAATGCCTCAAGCCTTGTTCTTTTGCTCAATATTTTTTTTGTGTGTGTATGTGTGTGGCTATTCAGTATCATTTGTGGTTCTATAAGGATTTAAGGATTTTTACCCATCTTTGTATGAAAAATGACATTGGAATTTTAACGGGAATTGAATTGAACATGTAGATGGATTTAGGTAGTATAGACATTTTAACAGTCTTAATTCTTTCAACCCATAAACACAAGGTATCTTTCCATTTATCTGTGTTTTCTTCAATTTCTTTCAACTAGTATTTTATAGTTTTCAGTATACAGGTCTTTTACCATCTTGGTTAAATTTAGACAGTATTTTTGGTGCTATTGTAAATGGGCTTATTTTCTTCGTTTCTTTTTAAGTTGATGACCTATTATCATATAGAGTCATTACTGAATTTTTTCGATGATCTTGTATCCTGCAATTTTGCTGAAGTCATTTATCAATTCTAACTGTTTTTTTGTGAGATAGTTTGGATTTTCTTTATATAAAATCATATCATCAGCAAGTAGAGACAATCTCACTTCTTTTCCTATAAAGATGCCTTCTATTTCTTCTTCTTCTAGGATAAGTCTACTTTACTTCCACAGAACAACCACAGGATAGATGAAATTCATTTTCTAAGAAACAAAATCTTGGCAGTTAGATCCGTGGGGTAAAGAATATAGATACTAATGTAAGAAACACCTCAAGTTCATGTCCTTGGTTTGGATGCTTTGCTCAAGAGTGTTTAGTGGGACCTGGGCACGGTGGCTCATGCCTATAATCCCAGCACTTTGGGAGGCCGAGGTGGGTGGATCATGAGGTCAAGAGATCAAGACCATCCTGGTCAACATGGTGAAACCCCGTCTCTACTAAAAATACAAAAATTAGCTGGATATGGTGGCGTGTGCCTGTAGTCCCAGCTACTCGGGAGGCTGAGGCAGGAGAATTGCTTGAACCCAGGAGGCGGAGGTTGTGGTGAGCCGAGATCATGCCACTGCACTCCAGCCCGGGTAACACGAGCGAAACTCCGTCTCAAAAAAAAAAAAAAAAGTGTTTAGTGGTATTTCAAAGGAATTAATGTCTATAACAGCAGTTAAAATCACCAGGAATGGACCAAATGTGTTCTGAAAATCTGTTTAATATAATTTGGCACAACTGAAGTGATAAGAAATATAGTAGTTAGACCATTTATGTTCACAACTATTTAACATTGTATTTTATTTTCTATCACGAATGATTTCATCTTTTCCATATTGGTATGATCCTGGCTGATAACTCTTTGTGTGGCAGCCTGAGAGAATATGGAAGACATTGTCAGTGTTGGAAGATGGTGGTTTTATCGCTTTTCATTGCACTATCTTTAAAACATGGGCAAATTGAATAAGAGAAGACTACAGAAGAAATAATGGCGAATGAGGATTTGGTATGAAGCATGGATGTTAATTAATCATCCACGTTCTCCGAGGTCCATTGTAAAAGGAGACCTTGTCATTAGGGAGAGAGTCACTAATGGGGAGATCTTATTCCTAGAATTTTGTGATTATATTATTATTCATGAACAAATGAATAATAAATGATGAAGATATAAAGGAAGAAAAACGTGCTTGGACCAGTGATGAGTACCATGGGGTATCTGAAACAGGATTTTTGATTAAACCCATCTACAACTCTGAGGTCCATCACAAAGAGACACATAAGTATTCCTTTTGGGAAGTGAGCCTATGGTCTCACTTGAGCCTTGTTCTTGAGCTTTGTGGTTCTTGGGGATGGATTGTATTTTTGTTATAAAATCAGTTCATGAATAAAAAATTTATCAATGAGTAAAACAAAAAGCATAAGTCATGTACTTATTATCAATGAATATAATGAAACATGGATTATTGTTAAAACTTTTCTGAGACTCCCAATAAATTTATATCTAAGGCTTATCCCTTCTGGTAAGGGGCATACACTCATGTGTATGCAAGAGTCAAAGATTTTGTTCTGTTTTGGTTGTGAGTTGCTAACTGTTTTATTAAGAAAATGAAACATCTTTAGTCATGTAAATAATTGGTTAAATAACTACTTAATTGAGACCAAGCAGAGACCAAGGATGAGAGTATTAATCTAATTTTTAATGGACTTTTATTAAACAAATAAAATAAGAAACTTAGTCTGTTCTTCCTGAGGGCAATGACTCTAGACAGATGTAAATATTCTTCAGTGTTCTTTTCCAGTGCTGTGAGAGCACAGATACCGATGCCTTTTGTGTATGAGAGACCAGGTGTACTTTTACATCTCTGTTTGTATTTTAGAGTCAGCAAACCGTGGACCAATTAGGAACAAATGTTATGATACGAGAATGCCACTTCATGTTTTTTTCATGATAGATATTCTTGGAAAAACTCTAGGCTCTTTCATTGTTTTTGGAATACATACATGGGCCTTTCCAAGTTGTAGTAATTTCGTTTCTTAGAAAAATGATAACATGTTTTTAAAAAGAGGCTTTATTTGTCTCTATAGAATGAAAACCATGTAGCTGGTTTTATTATTCTCTAATCATGAAGACCATTATTGTTGTTTGTGGACTAATGAGCAGAAAGACTGATGTAAGTAAACATCAGATGGATGTTTTGGGCTAGGATGGTATTCATTTATGGGCGCCCACTACATTATTTTGATAAAACAAATTGTTAAATAATACATGAAACAAGGAAATGCCAATCACAGACCTATGATTGTAATGGTCATGAACAAAAACTTATGATTAATTCAACCCAACCCAATTGAAGATGATTGTTAAATAAATGAGGCACATTTCATATATTGTCAGAGTAATTTAAATTCCCATTTAATGTTTTTGTTATAGTTGCTTAACATATTACATCACTGACAAACATTTAAGTTGTTGACTTTTTGAGGTAGAGGTACCTTGGAAGATACTAGATGTTAATTTGCTCAATTGTGGGCTTACATGGTAGGTCCATGGTTTACATCCAAATTAATAAGTAGACAAATCAAGTGGAAGAGAAGCTGGTAGACCCCAATCGTAAGTATGATATTTAAATGAAGCAAAGGCTCTGATGAATCTGTATGTGTGAACTTGAGGTTCATTGCAAAATATGATCTGGTTCATTTCCTCTGCGTGAAAGGGAGTAATGAACAGATCTTGGTTCTGTTAAAACCTTTTGTTCTCAGTTTTGTGTCATTAAAGGGTATTGATCATATAATTATTATTCCCGAAACCATGAATCTTTCAGTTCAAGAAGGTATAAATGAATGAAGAAATAGTCTGCCTAGCCTGGATCAATGATGAGTATTGGTGGAGGCGTCTGAATCAACACTATGATTAAGCCCTCTGTTAACTCTGAGATCTGTTATTGAATGAGAATCAGCCAGTATTCTCTGTAGAAATTACCTAATAGAAGTTAGGAAAATTCAATAAAACTTGTTCTTGAACTTCTGTGGTTCAAAGATATGAAATGTATTATTTTAAGTGAATTCTATGCATAAGTAGAGAAATGTATACATGAGAGAAGATGAACAGGCCTACTCATGGAACTATTCTTTGAGTAAAATGGAAAAGTATTATAAATATTAATAATGGCAATCAAACAAGTATCATTATTAATCTGAGGTAAAATCCTTTTATATGGGACATATTGTATGTGCAGTTGACACAATTTTTAAATTTTTATTGTTTGCTTTTTTTAATTAAGAAAAGGGAAAGTGTTTGCATCAGCCAGAAATCCATTAAGTAACATCTACTTAACAGATTTTTATATAGACAAATATTCCTAATCATTACAGATCTTTTTCTTGGGCTAGGTCATGAACTCAGTAGTGTCTGTTATGCTATTTAAAACTAAAAGTTCAATACTGGCCTGAAAAACAGTTGCGTTTTGGAGCCAAGGATTATTGTTATCTAGTTCGGCTTGACTAACATCCATTTAAGAAAACCTAAATCTATTCTAAATCTGCCTTTTTCTCTCCAGAGTGAATATAGGCCAGTTGATTCAATCATTTGACGAAGAATTGTTATCCTGAGTAAGGAGCATAGAGAGAAGTATAAATAAGTTCCTTGTTTTGTGTTCTTCCTTTGAATGGTTTGTTCTTGAGTGTTAGCTAAAGGATTTCAAAGAAATCAATGTCTACATGCATAAAATAAATAAAACACCCCAAATGGACCAATGATGGGAATGTAATGAACCATGAATTATGTTTAATCTAAATTGTCACAACTGAAGTGATTATAAAAGAAGACAAAAGTTAATGTATTCTCAGAGCAGCTCAACATTATTCTTTATTTTATGCCATGGCTATTTTACACATTCCCTTATGGGTAGAGATCCTGCTGACATCTGTTTTGGGGCAGTCCATAAGAATATGTAATATGGCAATTTCATTGTTTTTCATCTTTTCATCTATTTTTTGGCAATAGATGAATTAAATAGAAGTGGGCTATATAAAAATGAATGCTAAATGTGAATTGGTAGCATTCGGGGATGTTGATCAATTCACATGTACACTTTTAAGTGTCATTGTCTAAGCAATGCAGTCTGTAGCTCTGTGGGCCAAGAGCCTAAAATTTAATGATCCTGTTTTGGGGATTTTTGATTGCATCATTATTTGTGAGTCAATAGGTTAATCAATAGATGGAAAAAATGCACATCATGGACCAGTGATGAATGTCTTGGGGTTTCTGAAACAACAATTTTGATTAAACCCATCTGTAACTCTGAGGTCTATTACAAAAAGTCACCTCTTTATTCTTCATGGGAAATGAGTCTACAGAACCTTGTTCATGGGCCTTTGTGGTTTGAGGGTATGAATTACATTATTATAATGCATGAATACAAAATTTTATCAATGAATGAAAAATAAGAAAGGTAGGCATATACTTACCTCTTAGGGCATGTAATGCAACATGTATTATTATTAAAACAATTTTGAGATTCTTACTCCCAATAAATTAGTAGTTAAGACCCTTATCACTTTGGTAAGGAGCATGTGGTCATCTGTGCACGAGACTGAATGTTTTTGTTCTGTGTTGAGGCAGGTTACTGATTGCTCATTTTATTAAGGAAAAGGAAATACATTTACATAAATAAATAATTGATTGAGTAACTGTGTAATTGAGAGAGGGCAGGCATGGAACAATGATGAGATCTGTATACAAACACACTCGTGATTAATTCAATCTTTTATGGAATTTTACTTCAGTAAACAAACATTAAACAAGTTTAGTACTAGATTCAGTAGTGATTATTATATTATCCAAAACACAGAATTTCATGGTGAGAGATACTTCATCTTGACAAAAACAATTTATTTAAGATAATAAATAGAAAAAAGTGCTCTCTCTTCTCAAATGTTCAGAATAGGGCACAAAGCAAGGTTGATGACTGTTTACTACACAACTGTGATTGATTTTAAAGAGCTAAACATAGAGTATTTGATTCTTTTTAAAATTTGCTTTTTATACTGCAGAATGAACACACTCTACCTGATTTAATTGTAGTCTTCTGGTGAAGATCTTGCCTTTTATCTCTGTGAGTCAGGAGAGAAGAGATTGATGTAAGTAAAAATCAAACTTTCTGTTCTTGCTTGGGAAACATGATCATGTTTATTTGTTGAATTATTTCTTTTCCTTTTTCTTTTTTTTTTTTTTTGAGACAGAGTCTCACTCTTATCACCCAGGCTGGAGTGCAGTGGTGCAGTCTCAGCTCACTGCAGCCTCCGCCTCCCGGTTCGAGGGATTCTCCTGCCTCAGCCTCCGGAGTAGCTGGGACTAAAGGTACATGCCACCACACCCAGCTAGTTTTTGCATTTTTAATAGAGACAGGGTTTCACCCTGTTGGCCAGGATGATCTCGATCTCTTGACCTTGTGATCTGCCTGCCTCAGCTTCCCAAAGTGCTGGGATTGCAGGCATGCTCCACCTCACCTGGCCTCATTGAATATTTCAAAGGAATAAATGGCTACATACATAAATGAGTCAAAGGTGGTTATGCATGGACCAATGGTAGAAATGTATTATGAATTAAGAATCATGATTAATCCATTTCAGTACAACCAAATTCATTAGGACAAAAAGTTGAAAGTTATTTCTGTGATTTTCAGAATGCTTTAATATGCAGTTTTTGTACCATAGTGGACTTAAACACTTCCCCACTGGTATTCTTATTGATTGTTAACTAATTGAGGGAAGAATGTAAGAAAACGGAAACTCTTGCCTATAGCTGTGGTATAATCATGGTGCCATCTGAAAAAAATGGATGTTAAATGAGAAAAGCCCAACTGTAGTAATGGCTAATATGGAATTGATGTGGTGCAATTTGGGGAAATGAATTAATTCACCGTTGCAACACTGAGGCTCACTACAGAGGCAGCCAGTCCTTGAGTCTTAAGGAACATGAATCTTACATACATAGTCACATCTTCAAGGATCTTTATGCCCTCAAATTCTTGGATAGTGATTTTACTGTTAGTGAATGAATGTGTAACTCAATATCAGCATAACTGAATGAAGCACAGAATTCCAAGTCTGGATCAATGATGAGTATGCGTGGGGCATCTGAATCAAATATTCTGATTAAACCCTGTCTGTATCTCTGAGGTCCATTGCATGTATGGGAAATGTGCTTGGAGAGAAAGTGAGACATATTCAAGGAATGTGTTCTTGGTTCTTTTTGGTTAGTGGGCATAGATTGTATTATAAGTAAATCAATGAATGAATAAAGAAAAATACAAATAAAGACAAGGAAGGCTACATCTCATTCAATTAGGAAAGGAGCTAATTATGTTTTGAGTTCAAATAAAATAAAATAAGTCTGCTCCTCCTTTGAGAACACATAGATAAATATGCACACAGTGTTCCAAGTTAGTAGCAAGTTTCTGGTTGCATATCTTGTTTGATTTAGAAAGGGATAAAACATAAATAAATGATGTATTTAGTTTGATAATATTTAATATAATAAATAATAGATAATATAATTAATATTTATATTCAATAATATAAATTATGCCAAATATATTAACATAAAATTATTTTAAAAAATCAATTTAATACCATTAATAAACATTAAAATACTAATGATTAGGTTGTGAAATGTGGAAAAAGTCCAAGAATGAACATTGAAAATTTGAATATAGTAGCTAAAAGTCCTCTTGTGATTGCTGATTTTTATGTACAAAAGAAAATGCAAATGCATCTTTGATGACTTTTATGAGTAGTAAGTGAATAAATAGACGTGTCATGAAGGGCTTTTGTCCAGTGTCCTTTGAGTTCATGAATATTGACACTATTATTATGAGTAAAAAAATCATTTTATATCTCCATCCCTTATTAAAAAGAGGGCAAACCATGGACTAGTGAGAAGCTTATGTAGTGTGTGAAGGGGTGTGATTAATCTCGTCTGTCCTTTTGAAGTCCACCTAAATGAGAAAGGTCCAGGACCCTCCTTCCTTAGGAAGGGTTGTAGAGACCCATTCTCTAGACATATTTTGCTATTAACATTTAAATGAAAATTAATAAAAAATAAAAATTCAGTTCTTCAATCGCACTAGCCACACCCCAAGCCACATGTAGCACGTGGCCACCATTTCAAAATTGCTGATATAGAACATTCACATCACTAAGGAATGTTCCAATAGCACATCCAGGGCTAATCTGAACAGTTGCAGGTTACAGTATTTAGTTTTAGGTAGCAGGTGGCTTCGCTATTTTGAATTTTCTTTAGAAAAAAAAGTAAATAATTGAATTATTTTTTGAGTCATTAAGTAGATGAGTAAATAAACGAATAAGTAAATAGCTTGAATTAAAAGAACTGTGGCCCACTGGTCAGATTGTGTTATAAAACAACAATTTCAATTCATCTTAGAGTTTTCCTCATTAAAAATGCGTCTTCCCTTTATACTGGGAATACCTCAGCAGATACTGAAAATCGCTCTTCTTGTGCTGTGTGGTAGATTCGGAAGTGTTCATGGTATTATGTCATGCTAAGAATTAAGTTAATACATTAAAAAGAACTACTGTTGGGTTGATGGTGAAAATTTGATACAAACCAATGTTTATGATCCATCTAGTAACAGGAAAGTCACTTCTACTTAAAAATAGATTTAAAAATTTACTCTTTTAATTCTTTTAAAAATGTGCCTTTTCCTGCAGAATGAGTAGAGCAGACTGGATTTGGTCATTTCCCCAAGGTGAAGTGCATGCCGTTTTCTTCCGTGGGTAAGGAGCAATGTTAGTAATAGAATCTCTGTTGGTGGGTTATCCGGTTGGTTGTAATCACTGAAGAAAGGAGCAAAAGGCCGGATACACCAAAATAAAAGCATCAGGTAACAGCCAACAATAGGAATGTGTTGTAGGCCAAGGAGTAGGACTGACTCATTTTAGCACAACAGAGACTTATTTTTTAAAAAGCTAGAAGGAATTTAATTTTCTTTCTTTTTTTTTTATTGCATTTTAGGTTTTGGGGTACACGTGAAGAACATGCAAGCTTGTTGCATAGGTACACACACGGCAGTGTGGTTTGCTGCCTTCCTTCCCCTCACCTGTATCTGTCATTTCTCCGCATGCTACCTCTTCCCACCTCCCCACCCCCTCGTCCCTCTCCCATTTGCCCCCAACGGACCCCAATGTGTAGTGCTCCCCTCCCTGTGTCCATGTGTTCTCATTGTTCAACACCCGCCTGTGAGTGAGAACATGCGGTGTTTGATTTTCTGCTCTTGTGTCAGTTTGCTGAGAATGATGGTTTCCAGGTTCATCCATGTCCCTACAAAGGACACGAACTCATCGTTTTTGATGGCTGCATAATATTCCATGGTGTATATGTATCACATTTTCCCTGTCCAGTCTATCATCGATGGGCATTTGGGTTGGTTCCAGGTCTTTGCTATTGTTTTCAAATGTTTGATATTTTGTAGTATTTCTGCACCATACTTGATTTAAACATTTCCATATTGGAAGAGATTCAGGCTGTTAACTGTTCAGGAGAAGCCCTCGTCAGGTGAAGCATGCTGCCTGTGTTCTAGTGGGAGATACCATTGCAGATTTTGATTGTTCATTCTATCACCTCTAAAATCAGACAAACTGAATGAACACGGCCCAACCATCGGCCATCCGTATCGATAGTACTGATATGAAGCAAGGTTCATTGATGATTCCACGTGTGGTACTGAGATCCTGTCTGACAGCTTTGTGGAAATTGAGCCTGGAGAGAGGTTGTAGTGATATCCAGGATCTTGTTCTAGAATTTATGATTCATGGGAAAATGAAGGCATACTTGAATGAGGAGAAAAGAGTGCCAGGCCTGGACCAATGATGAGATTGGAGGGTGTCTGAATCAAAACTTTTGATTAAAGCCATCTGTAACTCTGAGGTCCATTTTAAAAAGTGGCCTCCATTTTTCCCACTATGGAAATAAGGTTATAGCACAGATTCACAATATTCAGGTATCTTGATCACAGGTAGTCACAGTTTATGGATGTAGATTCCATTTTATAAGTAAATCAATGCATAAATGTTGCATAAATGGGTAAATGAAAGGAGAGCTTGGCATTGACCAATTATGAGAGTATGCAATGACACATGGTTTATTATTATACACATCTATAGCACTGAATCCCAGTGGTAAGTGTTGATAGAGGCTGTTGCTTCGTTTTGGAAGGAGTACGTGGACAGATGTATGCAGGACACAAAATCATTGTTCAATGTTGGTGGTTGTTTATTGATTGGTTTTATTTAGAGAAGGGAAAATTAAATAAATAATAGGTTAAACAGTTATTTAACTGGAAATAAATGAGCACATTTCAACTTGAGAATATTCCTTTTGAAAAGTTATTATTAACCCAACTCTGTGTACTGAGTTTTATTAAAAACTAAAAAAAGCATCTAGTTTTTTGATCTCCCTGGATAGCATCATGGACATGTGGAGACGTAATATTATTCAAGCTTCTTCTATAATATTAGTAAATTCCCATATATTGAATTGTTATATGTGAATAGAATACGTCCTTATCACAATTAATTTTTTAAAAGCGGGCATAACACAGTTGGGTAAGAAATGAAAATGAAAGTTAATCTTTGTTTATATTACTGATGTTCTCTTCCTAGTTAGGTATGGGACTACAGACATTGAACATGAAAAGCATTTCTGCTCTGGGTTCTTCATGAGTTTACTGCAGTGTGTGTGTGTGTGTGTGTTAGTATTTGTGAATATGTAATAGAATATTCCATGAGTCATAACATAAATGAAGAAATAAAGCAATAAATGATTGAATTAATATATAAGTAGGGTTAAGCATTTACCATTGGTGAAAATATGCCATGAATCATGAATTTAAATTCATCCATTTCTATACACGTTCAGACCATTAAATAAAAAAGATGATCTAAGCAGTTGCCTATGTAGGTAGGTGTCTATAGTCAGATGAATGTCATAGTTTAGTTTTTGTTTTGGGTGTTGAATTTAACAGTGTTTATTGTGTTATTTAAACACTATTAACTATTTTAACTTATTATTTAATAGTTAAATCAAGAAATAAAAATAAGTTCAGTTCTTGGGTCAGTGATAAAAATGGGATTTGAATCAACTTTATGATTAATTTATTATCACACAACTAATGTCTTTTAAGTCAATCTAAATCTGTACTGTTCATTATTTTAAAAATTTGTATTAACAAACTCCACAGAATGAAGACTGTGGCTGATTTAATCAGTCTCTGCTGATGAAGATCTTGCCTGTTACCTTTTTGGGTAAGGAAGTTAAAGACTTAAGTAAATAATAGTCAAAAAACTTGTCAGTGAGGGTAAATTTTTCCTGAATGTTCATGGAATTATTTCAAGCTAAGCTGTATCTAGATCAGTGATAACGAATGTGTTATGAAACTAAGCTTATGGTTAGTCCAATTAAGCACAATTTTGGTTAAAAATAAGGTGAAATACATTTTATTCATTTTTACATCTGATTAATAATTCATCTTATTTTTTTACTGTGTTTAAGATTTGTTCTGTAATAAACTCTATGGCTGCACTGTTCAATGTGGTTTCCTCCATCTACATGCGGTTGTTTATATTTAAAATCGTTAAAGGTACAGGCACTTTTAAATTTAATTTCTTGATTGCATTAGCCACATTTCTAGTACTCAGTAGCTATATGTGGCCGTTGGTGACTGTATCGGAGAATCCAGTTACGGTGCATTTACATTATATGCAAACTCCTGTAAGACAGCTCCTTAATGCAGGAGGAATGCAGGGAAAGGGGGAAAATAAGTGGACTGAGATGGCGAGGAAGGGAGGACATTCATTGACCTATGCTTGTTTCGCTGTGGGCCGCTACAAAAGGAGATCTAGTCTATTGAGAAAAGGGCTAGTCTGTGTGAAGAGAGCCTGCAAACAGATGTTGGCAATATTCAAGGATATTGTTCTTGGGTGTTAAAATAACAATGGGTATTGATTTTATTACTGCTGCTGAATCAATGAATAGATCAATAAACAAACGTATAAATGAAGCAAAAGATTGCTTATCCTGGATCAGTGATGAGTACCCTGGGGTGTCTGAATCTTGGATTTTGATTAAACCCTGTGACTCTGAGATCCATTACAGAAAGAGTACTTTTCATTATCTCTATGGGAAATGAGCTTATTCAAAAGCTAGTAATAATCAGCATTTAGTTCTTGGGCTTCTGAGTATGGACTGTATTATTTTTAGTAAAGGAGTACATGGATAAACCGAGAAAAGTGCTGTATAAATAGATAAAAAGTGGTAATTCCTGCTCCCAATATGAGAGTGCATAAAATAATAAGAATCATTACTAATACATTTCTGAAGCACCAGGTCCCAGTAAAGTAAATTAATCAAAGCTTACCCTTTGGGTAAGGCGCATACAGATAAACGGATGTTAGAGTCCAGGTTTTGTTCGGGGTTAGGGTGTTCATTTTTTTATTTTTGTTTTTTTAAAGAAAAGGCAAAATGTTTACTTAAATTAATTATTGATTAAATCACTTCCTAATCGAGAGAAGATTTACACATGGATCTGCCTTGAAAATATATCAAATGACCGATTATAATGAGCTCTAATAATCTTCATTGTATTTAAATTCAGTTCCTCAGTTTAATTTACAAAAACAAGGAAAATGATCTGAATTTTCTGTTTAATGAGCATGTGGACAAGCATTGATATTGTCCAGTTTCTGTGGAGTCACAGATATAATAATTTTATTACAAATGTAAAAAGAATAAATTAATGTCTCAACCAATTATTTAAAATAAGGCCAAATCATGAACCAATGAGGGCCAGGTATTATGGAACAAAAAGAGTGATTAATCCAGTTCCATACAACTGCTCACCAGAATTGTCATTATTTCCATAAACAAAATTGACGTAGCTCTTGCATTTTTGGAACGGTGAATATATTTTTACATTTGCGTAGCATTTCCCTTTCAGTCCTGTTGGTGCAGTTTCCTTAAAACATGGAATAGACAAATGACTCCATGTGTAACTATTTAATTTCGTATGTATGTATGCATGCGTGCACAATGCGCAGTTGATGAGAATGTACTTGAATCTAGGATTTAGATGAATTTAATTCTTGCTGGCCAGATTCATGCAGAAAGGAGATTTAACTCTTTCCTGGTTGGGTTGAAGGCAGATACACAGACAGACAAGTTTAATAGTCACAGTTCTTACTCTTTTGTCTGGTGTTACTGGTAGTAGCTAAATTTAATACGTGAGTCAATGAATCAGTGAATCAATGGATATGTCATTCATCTTTCAAATATATGATGAGTACCAGGGTTTATTCCTAATCAATAATTGATGACTTGAACTGAATTTTTAAAAATCTAAATCTGGGCTGATTCATTTCTCTCTCTCTCTCTCTCTCTCTCTCTCTCTCATCTACCTATTTTTATATTCACTTTGTACTCCACAGAATGAATGTGCAATGATTCCATTATTCTCCAGCGAGAAGATCATGGTTGTTGTCTGTTTGAGTAATGAATGAGTGTAGAAACCTATGTAAGTAACAAAGTGATTGCTTTTGCTTTAATGGTTATCATGAGAGTTAACTCTTACTGGAGAGGAATAAATGGCTACATATACAGTTAAATGAATGATGTTTATGTGTGAATGATTCAGCACATCTATGGTCAGTGAAGGAGAAAAAAGCAGGACCATCTTTTTCATTTTTAATAGTTATTCAGTTAATTAATGTAAAAATTAATGATGCAATTTTCTTTGAGTCGCAGTTGATTTTAAGCTCCCTCTATAAAGGCAGCTTAGTCACATTCCAAGATGGAGGACACTGTCAGTGTGGAGTAAAATGCTACGTTCATAGTTGTTTATTGTCACATCCTTAAAATATGGACAAGGTCAATGAAAGATGATGAAGCCTTGACCAGTTAAGAGTGTGGGATTAATATGAAGCAGGTATGGTCATTTTAAAGTAAACTTAAATTATTATCTATGCAAGAGGGGCATAGAGACAACTATTTACTAGAGACATAGCTCTTTTTCTTGTATTTAGGAATGAGGTTTATCTTACTATTAGTCTATTAAAGCTTAACTTGGAGCTATCCTAAGATAGTCATAAGCGAGTGATAAAACTCTGTTACTGATCAAAAATTTCAGTTAATCCAGTAACACATGACACCCGTAAACAGAAAGAAAAATCACAGGGGCTTTATTTTTTCTAACATTTGCTTTGTACTTCCCTGAATGGAGGCATGATGGCTGATCCAATCGTTATCCACTGATGACGGTTTTGATGGCTACCTATGTGAGTATGGAGGACACATGCTGCTGTTAGTAATTGTGTTAAGTTCTTAAGTCTAATATCAAGGATTTTGTTAGTAAATTTTGATTTTATTATGTAAACAAGTAGAAAAGAAGATTGAAGCATTGTTCAACTGTGAATAAATGTGAGTAGGCAAGAAACACTACTAATAGAAATGGAAGACACTAAAGTCTCAAGAAATATGTGGATCAAGCATGTTACTTCTTTGTTTCAGGGTCTTAAGACACTGCATATAAGGAATAGTCAATGTTATTGACTGGTCTGCTTTGTACTCCTCAGAATGAACAGCCCCATCTGATTTCAGCACTGTGCCATGACCATGAACTCTACGGTTACCTCTGTGTGTCACAGGAAGACTCTTGTGAGTAGTAGTCAAAATTCTTGTTTTGTTTTAAGGGTATTCTCTGTATTCTTAAGAAGTCTAAAATATAATCAAATAAAGTCAAGCATTTTTATTATTCACTACTTAAGTGTAAATCTATTCTTAAGATTTCCCTGTTCATAGCTATGTATTTTATTATTACAGCACTATTAATGAATTGATTGAGCAATAAACGATGTACACATGAATGAAGACAGATAGAGTCAGTCTTGGACCAATGATGATGACTGGTGGCGTATGAGTCATGGACGATGAATACAGGTCTGGAAGTCTGAGGTCCAATACGATAAAAACCTAGTGTTTACCTTCTGATCCAAAGGATAGACTTTAGGAATATTCAAAGATGTTGTTTTTGGTCTTTGTGTTCATGCATTTTCCCTCTATTTTTATAATTGGTTCAATGAATCAATAAATATGTAACTGCATAAAGAGAAAAAGAGTGAGGCATTGTCCGATTACGGAAATATATAGTGAAATAAGAAATACTATTCATATATATTAAAAACACTAAGGTCTTCTTTCTATTAAGAAATAAATGACTCAAAGGTATTACTCCCTTGCTGGAGGATGGCATATTCAGTAAAAATAAGAGCTTATGGCAGATCATTTGGTCAGGGCCATGTTCACTGTTGTTTGTTTTCTCAAGAAAAAATAGTTTCACACATACTCACATGACTAATAAAATGAAAGGAGAAGTGTGTGGACAGAACATTTCAATCTTTTCATCTTTTTTGCTTTGTACTCTCAGAATGAATGCTTCCAAGTTGACTTAAGCAGTGTTCCATGGTCACCAGGTGTCTGGTTGCCTCTGTGTGTTAGAAGCTTGGAGACCAGTGTGAGCCTGGACACTAACGCAGGTAACTAACCTTGGTTCGAAGGTTTTTAAAGGGTATTCATTGTTTTACTAAAAGCATTACAGATAATCCAAAAGGTTAACCGTGGTCCAGTGATAAATCTGGCATTGCCATGAAACATGTTGATTATCTAATATTTACAAAATTAAAAATGATTAATGATGAAATCACTGTGACAGGTGGTCCTGTAGATAGCTATAAAGTATTTTTTGTTCTTAAGTTTTTGTAATATTATTTAATTATTATATTATGTGTTTGAAACTCGGTGGTCCCACACAGGAATAATCTAGTCCACTGGTTCTATTGGACATGATTCTGTAGACAGATGGTACGTATATGTAAGGATCATAGTCTTGAACTTTGTGTTCACAGATTTTGATTCTATTGCTATAACTGGGTATATTAAAATTATAAAAATAATCAACAAGCAAATATAAATAAATATAGCTAGGTGAAGCATCATCCAATTATTAAAATATGTTATGAGGCAATAAAACCTATTAATGTATATTAGAAGATAATAGATTAAGCAAGACATGGTTTAAAAATGTAACTTCTTTGACTAACAATTATGTAGTCAGTACAAATAATAAGTACTATTACTATAGATCATTGGAATAATCAATAAACAAGTACAAGTAAATCAATAGAAGTAAAATATTATCTAATTATGCATATTAATCAATACCTAAATGATCGAGTAAATAAATAAAATGTGGAAAGTGAAATCAATGCAGATAATGTCTCTATATTAAAAATCACCTTTTTTGCTTTGTACTCATCAGAATGGGTGCATTTGAAATGATTACGCTTGCCCTGTGTATTTGGCCCACTGAAACCAATGTGAGTAATAATGGTTAAAGTCTCATCTTGGTTGAATATGCTATTTTTAAGGGTATTCACTCCATATTTAAAAAGTGTGAAATGTCATCACTGAAAGCCATCTGTGGCAAGATGATATACACTGAACTATTATGCACTGCAATCTTATATTGACTAAGCCATACATGAAACGTTGAGAATGATCAGTGAAACCGCATGGATGTGGCGAATTAGTTAGTAAGACAGGTGTAGGGTATTTAAGCATCTTGGCCTTGAGTTCGTGATTCAAGAGTATTTGTTTTATTATTGTCAGGGAACTAATGAATTGGTCCATAACAAAAGCAGATAAGAATGAAGAGAGAGAGTCCCAAACCCGGACCAATGATGACAACTGGTGGCGTATGAGTCATGGATGATGAATAATACGTGTCTGGAAGTCTGAGGTCTGGCAATAAGAAACCTAGCTCATTGCCATTATTGGGAGTGATGCTGTGGACAGATGATAGGGATTAAAAAAAATCATGGTCTTGGCCTGATGTTCATAGATTTTGGTTTTATTATTATAAACAAACATAAATAAATATGAATGAGTGAAGTACTATCCAATTACAAAAATTGTATGAATAGATAAAAGAACTATTCATATATATTGAAAACAATGGGGTCTATCATGAAATAACAGTCAATATACAAAGCAGCGTTCTTGATTTGTGTCAGTGGCAAGATCAATGTTGTTAGTTTTCTAAAAGTAACTAATAAATGTTAACTCAAAATTCTAAATACCTAAATGACTGGCTAAATGAAAGGTGACATGCATAGATCAAGGAAAACTGTGTCTCCATTTTTATTTTCTTTATCTGCCCTGCTTTGTACTTGTCAGAATGGGCAGACCCACGCCTTCTGCTGTGATTGCTCTCTGTGGTTGCCTCCGGGTGGGAGCCTGGACACTAACGGAGGTAACAGTCAATCTTCTTGTCATATTTTTGTATTTGTTTAAGGTAGGTGTTTAAAGATTCACTATAACATTTTAAAATAACCAAAGAAAGCCACCTGTGACTGAATGGTAGATGTGTGGTGGACATGAAAACTGTTGATTAATTAATATCACTGTGGATGATGAATAATAATAAAAAAGCAGGGGCACTTAAGCATCTCGTTCTCAAGGGTTTTGGGATTTTTTTAACAAGTGTTTTAGATATGTAGATATTTACTTTAATATTATTAGTTCACTGATAAATTAACTGGTAAAGAAATGTAGAGATGAATGAGATATGAGGCCCAAGCCTGGATAATGACCGTCGGGGTATGCATAGTCAGTGAGGGTGAATAATGTTTTGTGTATGGGCATCTGAGGTCCAACACTAAAAAATTTAGTTAATTACTCTGATGGAAATCCAAAATAAAAGAGCAAAATCTTTGTCTATTCCTAATATGTATTTGATAGTATTCTTATAAGTAAATCAATCATGGAAGCATTAAATTAATATATAAATCAATAAGTATGATTTATTATACTATAGATGGTGAAGCTTTGTTCAATTATCAATATATGTGGTCAGCCAAGAAATATTATTAATAACTGTGGGAAAAAATTATTCTCATTAAGAAATAAGTAGATCAAAGTGTTACCTTTAATTATCATATAGACACTGATAAATAAGAGTCAACTTTATTACTCTGGTTCAAACCAAGTTAAGGTTGTATGTTTTGTCTAGAAAATACATGAACTACAAAAAGTTAATAAACACCTAAGTGAATGAGTAAATTAAATGTAGGGAGCAGGATTCAATTAAGATAAAGTCCTCATTTTCTTTTAATCTATGCTCTGCTTTGTACTCCTTAGGATGGCACTGGACCTGATGTAACGATTCTTTGGTAGTCGCAGATATACAGTTGCCTCTGTATGTTTGGCACGTGAAAACCAATGTGAGTTTCTGTGGACATATACTCTTTATTTGAAAAGTTTGAAATATCATCAAACAAAGCCAACCATGGCCCAGTGATAAATATGGAATTCATATGAAACATCATATTGATTAATCATCTTTGAGGATGATTGATTAAAGCGATGAAGGGATTCTACGTAGAGATGCAGCACTCTTTCAGGCCCACTCGTGTTCTAGGTTAGGTGCTTCATGGTGATTTATTTTATTATCAGATAATTGATGAGTTAATTAGTAAACAAAGGTATAGGAGAGTGAAAGAAAACCCAGATAAGCAAAGAAACTAAAACAAGGCCCAAGCCTGGATCGATGATGACCGCTGGTGGCGTATGAGTCGTGTATGATGAATACGTGTCTGGAACTCTGAGGTCCAGCATAAAAAGAAAATCAGTTTATTGGCACTGGTGAAAATGACCTTATAGGCAGATGTAAGATTTTACAAGGATCTTGCTTGGCATCTGTTATAATTAGAATCCAAATCCATGGATAATTAGAATTAGAATCATTATAATTAGAACCCACGAATTAGGACTCTAATTATAATAAATAGTCAATAAAAATATCCATGTCCAATAAAGAGATCGTGTTATTCACCTCAGATATATACAATTAACCCTTTTAATGAAAAAGAATTAATGTACAATTATAGTAAGTGTAGGTGAAGAGAGCGAAGTATGGTTCAGCTATGAAAAAATGAGTGAGGCAAGAGGAACTAATAGTATGGAAAACACTAAAGTCAGTTAAGTAATATATGGCTCCAACGTGTTGCTTCTTGCTAATGAGGATATGGAAAACATCAGCAATGGTCAATATTCTTGTTTTGTCTTAGTGGAAGTTCGATGTTGTTTGTTTTTAAGAGCATGTGAAATATTTAGAAAGCAAATTTGGATAAGCCTAAAAGACTGAATAATGAATTCTAGATGCAAGGATACATGGAGAGAATATTTCAATCATGCTCCCATCTGCTCTGTTTTCTACTTCTTAGAATGGACGTACTCCAGCTGATTTAAGCCTTGGTCAGTGATCTCTATGGTTGACTCCTTGTACAGGAGTGTGGAGACCCATGGGAGTAATGGGTCCATTGTTGTCATCTTGGTTGGAGTAGTTCGTTTAGAGTATCTGCTGTAATATTAAAAGAAGTATTCAATATAAGAAGAAAAACCAGCCAGGTGCAGTGGCTCATGCCTGTAATCCCAGCACCCTGGGAGGCTGAGGCGGATGGGTCACCTGAGCTCAGGAGTTCGAGACCAGCCTGCCCAACATGGTAACATGGTGAAATCCCACCTCTACTAAAAATGCAAAAAATTGGCTGGGCATGGTGGTGCATGTCTGTAATCCCAGATACTGTGGAAGCTGAGGCAGGAGAATCACTGGAACCTGGGAAGCTGAGCTTGCAGTGAGCCAAGATCAAGCCATTGCACTCCAGCCTGGGCAACAAGAGCGAAACTCCCTCAAAACAAACAAACAAACAAAGAAGACCAACCATTCCCCAGTGATAAATATGAAGTTGACATGAAATGTTATTTTGATTAATCAATATTTGCAGCAATGAGAATAATTAATGAAAGAAGTATAGTCATTGACGCATGTGAATCTCTAGAATAATGTGAAGGATCATCTTTTGAGGTTTTTTTCTTTGAGATAGAGTTTTGCTCATCGCCCAGGTTGGAGTGCAGTTGCGCAATCTTGGTTCACTGCAACCTCCGCCTCCCAGGTTCAAGCAATTCTCCTGCTTCAGCCTCCCGAGTAGCTGAGATTGCAGGTGCCCACCACCATGCCCTGCTAATTTTTGTATTTTTTAGTAGAGATGGGGTTTCACCATGTTGGCCAGGCTGGTCTTGAACCCCTGACCTCAGGTGATCTGCCCGCCTCAGCCTCCTAACGTGCTGGGATTACAGGGGTGGGGTTCTTTTTTTTAGTTTTAATCACTAATACATATTTATTTTATTATTATATGAGAATTATAAACTCATAATTAACAAAAGTAGATGAGAAAAAAGAAAAAGAAGACCCAAGCTAGGTCAAAGAATGATGACTGGTAGTGTGTGAATCAATTGCAGTGAAACTATGTGTCTGGAATGCTGAGGTCCAATATGAAGTGAAATATCATCTATTGCTTCTGTTTGAAGTGATCTTATCTACATATTCTAGGAATGTAAAATAGCTATTTTCTTGGATCGTTTTTATGAAGTTGGATTTTATTATTATAAATTGATCAATGTAACGATCATTGTGGAAAAACAAGTAAGTAAAGATGAAGAGTGTGAAGCATGCCCACTCCTTTTAAATTATTTTTTTATTTTGAATGTTCACAGGTACAGAGTGGGCATATATATTTGTGGGGTACATGAGATGGTTTGACACAGACATGCAATGGCAAGTGAGCACATCATGGAGAATGGGATCTCCATCCCGTTAAGAATTTATCCTTTGTGTTCTGAACAATCCAGTTATACTCAGTTATTTTCAAATATACAATTAAGTTATTATTCACAGTAGTCATCCTGTTCCTATCAAATACTAGGTCTTATTTGTTCTAATTATATTTTTTGCACCTATGAACCATGCCCACCTCCTGCCCAGCCCCTGACTACCTTTCCTAGATTCTCATAACCAGCCTTCTACCATGTATGTCCATAGAGTTCAATTGTTTTGATCTTATATCCTACGAATAGGTGAGATGTTTGTCTTTCTGTGCCTGGCTTATTTACTGAACAGAATGATCTCCAGTTCCATCAGTGAAATTGCAAATGACAGGATCTTATTCTTTTCTATGGCTGAATAGTACTCGATTGTGTATATGTGCCATATTTTCTTCATCCATCCACCTGATGAAGGTGATGAAAAGATGAAGTTGGTATTATGGATCAATGGCAGTTTGATATTCTTAATTTTTTTAAGAGAAAAATTCATAAGTATTACCCCAAATTAAATGAATATATACCTACACAGTTGACTTACTGAGATTTGGATGTACTCAACAATGTTGATAACATCTTAGTCTTCTTTTCATCTGCTCTGTTTTGAGCTTCTCAGAGTGGGCACACCAGAACATGCTTAAGCATCCTGCCATGTTCACAAGCTCCATGGTTGCCTCTATGTGTATGAGCCTGTGTATGAGCCTCAGTCCTCTGTGAGTAGTCAGAGTTCTTGTCTTGGTTTGGGTGGTTTGTTTAGGGTGTTTGCTGTAATATTTTTAAAAAATTAAATATATTCAAAAAGAGTTATCCATGGCCTAATGACCAATGTGGAATTGATATGAAACATCACGCTGATTAATTTACAACAACAAGAATGATCAACAAAAGAGCTATATGTTTAGTGCAGTAAGCTAGTCCATATAGTTGTTAGGGATACTTGAAGACCTTGAGTTTTTGATTCATAGATATTTATTGTATTATTTTAGTGAATTAACAAATTGATCAGTAACCACATGTATATGAGAATGAAGAAAAAGAGTCCTAGGTCTGAACCAATATTCTAGGTGAATTAATGAGTTAATCAGTACGTAATATAGAAATGAATGAGGAGAAAGTGGTCCTTCCTGGACCAATGGTGACAACTGCCAGCATATGTGTCTCCCATGATGAATGATACATGCCTGAAACTCTGAGGTCCGAACCAAAAGGAATCTAGTCTATCCTCTCTGTTTAGATGGTCCTATAGGCAGAGGTTGGGAGAACAATATGGCCTTTTCTTGTCTTTATGTTTATTAATTTTTAAAAATATTTTAATTAAAGTAGCAGTGGCAGAGTCAATAAACATGTATAAATAAATAAAGATGACACATACATTACTGTTTGATGTTAAAATGTATAAGAACAAATAATACTAATATAAATTGAAACTGATAATAAGTAGATCAGCGTATTACATCTTTCACTAAAGACCATATAGACAGTGATAAGTAATAGTTATTGCTCTAAATCGTTGCAATTTTAACATTTGTTTATTAAGAGAAAAATTAATACATATCACCATAAATTAATAAATATCTAAATGACTATGCAAATGAACCATGGAAAGTATGGGCCAATGGAGAGAATGTCTCAATATTTTTATCATCTCTGCCTTGCACTCTTCAGAATGGATGTGCTGAGCTGACTCAAGCATTCTTCCTTAATCACGATTAAGTATCCTCCATATGAGAGAGACCAATGTAAGTAACAGTCAAAACTTCATCTTTTTCTCTGGCCCTTTTGTTTCAGGGTCTTAGTGATACTGTTAAAAAGTGTTAAAACATATTTAAATAGCTAACTATGACCCAGTTATAAATATGATACAAAATATTATTTTGATTAAATGTTAATGACATTGAGGTCAATTAATGAAAGACATATACTCTATGTGGGAAATGATTCCATAGACTAATGTTAGGAATTCTCAAGGATCTTGTCTTGGGCTTTGTAAATCATGTGCTTATTTAGTTACTATTAATGAATTAATGATTTATTCAAACAAATGTAGAAACAAATGAAGAAAAGGGACCAAAACATGGACCAATGATGACCACTGGTGGCGTTTGAGTCGTGGACGATGAATACTATGTGTCTGAAACTCTGAGGTCCAACACAAAACATAATTAGATAGATATCAGAAATGTACAAATCCCATATTCTTACTTTGGATTAATAGATTTAGATTTATCATGGATAGATCAATGATAGAATAATTAAACAAGCATAGAGGGTGAATCATTGTTCAATTATGAATATATGTGATGCTGTAAGAAATATTATCACTAAAAATTTTAAACGCTGATGCCCCTTAAAGAAACAGATCATGAGTATCACCTCTTTGGCTAAGGTTCACAGAGACTCTAGTAAGTAAGAGTCCGTTTCGTTTTCTGGTTCAGTCTCATTTTAGATTTTTCCTTTTGTTATGAGAAAGAACATTTCCATTCTGAAAAATTAATAAATATAAAAATAACTGAATAATAGAAATGTGGAAAGGATCAATGGAGATAAGGTTTGATTTTTTTTTTTTAATTGCCTCTTTGTATTCAGCAGAATGGATACACTTGAGCTGACCTGAGCAGTCATGGTCAAGAGATGTGTGGTTGCCACTGTTGGTTAGGAGCTTAGACATCAGTGTGAATAACTGCTAAAGTTCATGTCTTTCTTTAAGAGACTTTTAAAAGGGTATTTATATCATAAAGTGTGAAAAATCATCCAAAAGGCCAACCTCAGCCAATGATAACTATGAGGTTGGTTGAAACATGGTATTTACTAACTCATTTATGACACATTGAGGATAATTCATGAAAGAGGTATAAAACTGACAGACTATATAGAAAATTCTAGAATATTCAATGCTCTTACTCTTTGGATATTATATTTACATGGATTATAAAATTAATATTAATGAAACAATGCATAAATACATGTAGATGAGGATTAAGCTAAAGTGTCCTAAGCCTGAACCAATGATGAAAACTCGTGGCATAGAAGTCAAGGATACTGAATAATGTGTGTCTAGATCTCTGAGGTTCCGTAGAGGAGGAAATACAGTCTATTGCTTTTGAAGTGATCCTATAGACAGATTTTGGAAATACAAAAGGCCCATCTTCTTGGGTTCTTTTTGTGAATTTTGATTCTTCTTTAAAATAAATTCATTGACATGATAATCAGTGTACACATATAAAAAAGATGAGGAGTGTAGAAGCATGTCTACTCAATGTAGACATTGTTGAGACAGCAGAAATCATTACAACGTATTGAAAATATGAATACCATTTAAAAAAAAAAACAAGTAATTTAAGCATCTTCTTTGACTAAGGATGACATTGGCAATACAGTCAGGTTTCTTATTTTGCATTAGAACAAGTATGAGATTGTTCATTTAAAAAAATAAAATTGATAAGTATTACCACAATTAACAGATACCTGCATGACTAAGAGAAGGGTCTAATGAATGCATCTGTGAAAAATATCTTAATCCTGTTATATTCTCTCCTTTGCGCTTCCCAGGATGGACACTTCTGAGCTGGCAGAACATCTGGCCTTGGTCTGGAGCCATATGTCTGCTCCTCTGTAGACGTGCACATGGGCAGTGTAAGTAACAGTAAAATTATTTTTTGCTTTTGTTTATTTGTTTAGGATATTCAGTGTAATATTGAAAACTATTATATATTAATATAATCAAAGGACAGCCACTCCCAGGGATGTGTATGGACTTGACCTGAAATACTGTGTATTTTGATAGAGATTTTAAACAATGAATATGATTAATAAAGGAAGTAGTAATATACTAATTGAAGCAAATGATTATATAGACAGATATTAGGGATACTTAAGGATCTTGTCCTTGAAACTTGGTGATCCAGAGATATATATGTTATTATTGTTAGTGAATTAATGAATCATTAGGAAACAGCTTAGAAATCAATGGAGAAAAAGAGGGCTAACTCTGGCTGGATCGGTGATGACCATTGGTGGCATATGAGCCGTACGATGAATACATTTCTGGAACGCCAAGGTCCATCACAAGCAGTATCTAGCCTATTCCCTGTCTCTGAAAGACTCCTGTAGACAGATGTCAGAGAAATACAAGAACCTTATTCTTTTTCTTTATGTTTATGCGTTTAAAAAATACTATATTGTTAAAATAGCAATGAAGAATAAATAGACATATGTATAAATGAACATAGATGAGGGTGAAGTATTGTTTATTGTTGAAATGTATAGTAAAGAAAAATAATACTAATATAATTGAAATGGATGGATAATTAATGGACCAAGTATAATACATCTTTGAGTAAGGATCATGTGGACAGCAATAAATAGCGATTAGTGCTGTGCGTTAGTTGCAAGTTTCACATTTGTTGTATTAAGAGAAATGGTGAAGAATACAGATCAATGGAAATAATGTTCATTTTAAAAAATCATCTTCTCGGCCGGGCGCGGTGGCTCAAGCCTGTAATCCCAGCACTTTGGGAGGCCGAGGTGGGCGGATCACGAGGTCAAGAGATCGAGATCATCCTGGCCAACCTGGTGAAACCCTGTCTCTACTAAAAATACAAAAAAAAATTAGATGGGCTTGGTGGTGTGCGCCTGTAATCCCAGCTACTCAGGAGGCTGAGGCAGGAGAATTGCTTCAACCCAGGAGGCGGAGGTTGCAGTGAGCCGAGGTCACGCCACTGCACTCCAGCCTGGCACCTGGTGACAGAGTGAGATGCTGTCTCCAAAAAAAAAAAAAAAAAAAGAAAAAAAATAGTCTTTTCTGCTTTGCACTCTTCAGAATGGATGCAGTGAGCTGATCATTTTGCTGTGATGAAGGCTATGTTGCCTCTATGTTACGCCAATGTGAGTAGTGGTTTTTGTCTTGGTTCAGGTTGTTTAATAATATTCCTTATATTATTAAAAATTAATATAATAAAAAGTTAACTGGTTCAATGACAATGCACAACGTTGAGGTTAATCAAAGAGATATAGTCTCTGTGGGAAATAATTCTATTGACAAATGTAAGGGTTCTTCAGATATCTTGTTCTTGGGGTTTTCAAAATCATGTATTCATTTTATTATCAATGAAGAAATGATTTATTCAATAAATATTTAGAAACGAATGATGAAAGAGAAACCCAACCATGGATCAGTGGTGACCACTGGTGGCATATAAGTCATGGACCATAAATATGAGAAGAAAAGAATCTAGGTTTTTGCTTTTATTGAAAATGATCCTGTAGACAATGTCAGAAACATACGAAGATAATTTTCTTATCTCAGGGTCATAGATTTAGGTTTATTATTACTAATAGGTGAATGATAGAACCATTGAACAAATACAAACAGATAAAAATAAAAGTAGAGATTTAAGTTTCAGTGTCCAGCTATGAATATAGGAGATGACATAAATTATTACTAAAAATGGGAGGCACTGGTTCCTCTTATCAGATAAATGCATCATAGTGTTTCCTCTCTGACTAAGGAGTATATAGAATCTAACAAGTAAGAGTCAGTTTTGTTTTCTTGGTCAGAGATTGTTTCTTCTGTTAAGAGAAAAAGACATCTACAGTATGAAAAATTAATAAATACCTAAATCACTGAATAAATGCAATGCAGGAAGGCAGAATCAACAGAGATTAGGTCTCGATGCTTTTTATTATCTGCTCTGTACTCCTCAGAATGGACAGACCCAAGCTCACTTTGCTGTTCCGTGGTCGTGAGGTCAGTGGTTGCCTCCACGTGCTAGGGACATGGAGACCGATGTAATAGTCCAACTTCCTGTCTCAGTTTCAGTGTTCTTCTTAAGGATATTGAGAAAGTGCAAAGTGTAATCAGTGACTGCCAACCATGATCCAAATGTAAAAACTGTACTTATTATGTATGAAGCCTTGAGGTCAGTTGATGAAAGAATGGTATTGCTACAGGAAATTATTCTATAGGCATGTGTTAGAAATACTCAAGAATCCCTCTGGTTTTTGTGACTCTTGGTATTTATTTTAGTAATATTAGATTGTTGATGTATTATTCAATGATATAAATGAAGAAAATGAGAGCCAAGCCTGGATTAATGATGTCCACTGGTGGCATATAAGTCATGCATGATGAATATATGTCTGGAACTCTAAGGTCCAAGAAGGGAAGAATTTAGGTTATTGCCTCTCTTAGAAATAATCCTATAGATTATTTAAGGATATATAAGGATCTTATTTGGCCCCTTCAAAAATAAGTTTTTACTCTATCATAATAAATGGATCCATAAAAGGATCAGTGTGTGGATATGAATATGTAAAGGTAGATAGGGCGAAGCCTCATCAGGTTTCGGAAAGGCAGCTTGGTGCCAAGAGAACACACATGTATATACACTGAAAACACGGAATTCCATTAAAAACCAGTGGTTCAGGCTGTTACCCCTGGTTAAAAATCATACAGACAACGTACATAATAGCCCGCATTCTGGGCTAATGGAAAGTTTGATGTTGTTTGTTTTTCTTAAAAGTGTCACATATATTGCTCCAAATCAGTATATGCCTCAGACTACAAGGATCAGTGGAGAGGATTTCTCAATTTTGATTTTGTCTGAACTACTTTGTATTTCTCAGAATGGACGTGCCTTCACTGACCTACGTGTTTGCAAGTTCCATGGCTGCCCCCCGTGTTTGGAGCATGGAGACCGATGTGAGTTACAGGCACTGTTCTTACCTTGGTTTTTGTGGCTTGTTTAGGATATTCACTGAATAAGTTTTTAAAAAGTATTAAGTATAACTAAAGAAGGCCAACTGTGGCCCAATACAAATATGGATTTGACATGAAACATTATGTCGATTGATCCATTTTTGTAACAATGGGAATGATTAATGAAACAGGTATATTCAGTGACATAAGTGATTCCATAGATAGATGTTTGGGATATAAGAACCTTTTGAAGAATTTGTGATTCACAGATAATTATTTTATTATGTTTGATGAATTGAGAATTAATCAATAAGCAAAAATAGGATAATATGAGGAAAAAGACATGTAAACCTGAATCAATAATAGTGATTGATGGTTTAGGAGTCGTGGGTGATGAATAATATGTGTCTGAAACTGGAAGGTCTGCAGAAAACAAAATCTAATCTATTTCCTAGGGTCATTTGAAAATGACCATCAGTGTTTGAAGTGATAGATTGATGTTAAGAATATGTAAGGGTCTAGTCCTTTTATTTTTGGATTCATGGATTTATATATTATTATTATTTTTAATTGATCCATGATCCAAATATTAAACAAATATATAATTTGACAAATATGAAGATGGAGAGGTGGACTTCAACCATGTCATGATTCAAGATATACTATCAACATAAAAGGAAACACTAGCTCCCAACATGGAGAAACCCTGTCTCTATTAAAAATACAAAAAATTAGCTAGGTGTGGTGGTGCACACCTGTAATCCCAGCTATTTGGGAGGCTGAGGCAGGAAAATTGCTTGAACCCGGGAGGCAGAGGTTGTGTGAGCTGAGACTGTGCCACTGCACTCCAGCCTAGGCAACGAGAACAAAACGCCCAAAAAAAAAAAAAAAAAAAAAAAGAAGGAAGAAAGGAAGGAAGGGAGGCAGGGACGGAGGCAGGGAGGAAGGAAGGAAGGAAGGAAGGAAGGAAGGAAGAGGGGAAGGAAGAAATGGACCCATGGCTGTTACCTTCTTTTGACTAGTAATCATATAAATGCTGGTAAATAAGAGTCAATTGTATTGCTTGGATCAGTCCATTTGAAGTTGCTAGTTTTGTTCAGAATGAACATGTATGTTAGGAAAAAATTAATAAATCCCTAAACGACTGGTTTGGAATAAAATATGGAAAGCAAAGTTCAACAAAGAACCTTAGTTTTTAAAATCAGCTGCTTTGCTTTGTACTTCTTAAAAGGGATGCACTGGCACTAATGGAAGGATTCGCTCATAGTCACCTAAGGTGTATGGTTGCCCCGTGTAGGTGCATGGGGACCAATGTGAATACGAGTCAATATTCTTCTCTCGGTTTGAGTATTTTTAAAGAGGTATCACTGTATTATACATTTTGGCATATAATCAGTTAATATCTTAAGAATGGAATTGATATAATACATTATGTTGGTTGATCTGTACATGAAACACTGCATTAAATTAATAAAATAAAAATAGTGTCTATGGGAAATAATTTTATAGACAGGTATTAGATATTCAAGAATCTTGCTCTTGAATTTTTCTGACTGTTTGGTATTTACTTATTAGTGAGTTGATGAATTAATCTATCAATAAATGAAGATATGAATAAAGAAAAAGAGCCCCAAGTCTGGACCAAAGATGAAGTTTGGTGATGTATAAATTATGGACAATAAACACCTGTGTTTGGGACTTTGAGGTCTAACATGAAAACTAGTTTACTGCCTATGATGTAATTGATCCTATATACATATATGAGGAATAGCAACGATCTGATTGTGTTTCATAGCTATTGATTGTAACTTCATACGTTGATTAGTGCACAAATAACCAAAGAAATGTATGAATACCTGAAGAAAAACGGAACCAAGAATGGACTAAGTATGTCCTCTGTAACATTGCTCTTATATAGAAGCAAATTCTTGGATTTTACTAGTTTTATTAAGATTGGTAGGCAGATATTAAAAATAGCATTTCTGTTCCAGATTTCTGAAAATAAAATAATAAATACCGAAATGACTGAACAAAGGAAATGGGGAAGGCATGTATCATTGGAAAGAATATCTCAGCTGTTTATTGTTTGCATTGCTTATCTTTCTCAGAGTGAAAGCTCCTAGCTGATTTAAGCATTCTGCTGTGGCCATGAACTCCATGTGCCGGGAGCATAGAAACCAATGTCAGAGTCAAAGCACTTGTCTTCGTATGAGTGGCTTGTTAAACAATATTTACTGTATTATTTACACAATGTGTTAAGTCAAAGAAGTTGACTATGGCATACTATGGAATTGATATGAAATACAAGTTCACTAATGGATATGTATAACACAGATTAATTAATGAAGGATATAGTTGTTGAGTAAATTTACTCTGTAGACAGTTTTTATGGATACTTAAGAATCTTCTATGGAATTTGTGACTCAGGTAAATTTATTTACTATAATTTATTGAAAAACTAATAAATCAACAAATATAGGAAAAGAATGTCAAATCCTAAACCAGTGGTGATGGCTGGCGGCATATTAGTCATAGATGATGAGTGAATAGATGCTGGAAACTGAGATTAGTACCTAGAGAGAGACCTAGCCCGTGACTTCTGGTGGATGTGGTCCTGTAGAACGATTAAATGCATGTTAAGGTGATGTTCTTGGACTTTCACGGATATGAATTTTGATTGTATTGTTCCAAAACAATCAATGACAAAGTGTATACAATTCAATGAACACGAAAGGGTGAAGCATTGTCCAATAATGAAAATGAGAGGTGAGGCCTGAAATACTGTTAATATGATTTGAAAGTCCTAAGGTCAATGAGTAAATAAGTGGGGCAAGGGTGTCACCTCTTTGGCACAGAATCATAGATCAGCGGTCCCTAATCTCAGGGCCGTGGACCAGTACCTGTTCAAGGCGGGTTAGGAACCAGGCCGCACAGCAGGAGGGGAGCGGTGGGCGAGCAAGCATTACCACCTGAGTTCTGCCTCTTGTCAGATCAGTAGTGACATTAGATCCTCAAAGGAGCAGAACCTGTTGTGAACTGTGCATGCCAGGGATCTAGGTCACATGCTTCTTATGAGAATCTAATGCCTGATAATCTAAGGTACAACAGTTTCATCCCCAAACCACCCCTTCCTGCCCTGGTCCATAGGAAGATTGTCTTCTGCAAAACCCGTCCTGTGTGCTAAACACGTTGGGGACGATGGGTATAGACAATGAGAAGTAACAAAGTAACAGTCAATGTTATTGTTCGGTATCAGTGGTAAGTACCATTCTGTCCCATTTTTAGAGAAGAGACAAATAATAGCATCAATTAGTAAGTATCGGTGTAACTAAAGAAATGAAAGCTGGAAAGCCGTTATCAGTGGAGAGAACGTCTCCACCTTTTTTGATCATTGGTTCTCCTTTGCATTCCTCAAGGTGGAAGCCGTCAGCAGTAGGAGTGCAGAGACCAGTGTGGGTAACAATCACATTTTATATCTCTCTTTGCGTGAGTTATCTAAGGGCTTTCATTATATAATGGCATATGAAATATAATCAAAGAGGGCCAAATGCACCCCAGTAATGCAGTTGGGATTGATGTAAATTACTTTCTTTGATATATAAGGCATTGAGGCTTTCTGTATCAATCAAGTTTTATTTTCTGGGTTGGTTGCAAGTTTGACATGGTTCCTGTTGAGACAGAGAGAAAAAATACATGTTTATAATGAAAAATTAATAAGGAAATGAAATTTGGAAAGGAGGGGTAAGTGCAGATAAGGTCGTAAGATTTTTTTACCACGTGTTCTGCTTGGTAATCCTAGAATGGACACACTTAAGCTGATGTAAGCATGCTTCCATGGTCACAAGCCCTGTGGTTGCCACGGGGCATTAGAAGCGTGGAGACCAATGTGAGTATCAATCAAAGTTGGTGTCTCCATGTGGGTGGTTTGCTTAAGGGTGTTCACTCGCTATGTTATTGAAAAGAGTGAAATATAATCAAAGAAGACCAACTGTTGCCCAGTGACAAAATTGATATGAAGCACTATATAAATTAATGGATATATGAAAAACTGGAGGTAATTAATAAAGGAGATACATTGATGACTTTAAGGCCAGGTGCGGTGGCTCAAGCCTGTAATCCCAGCACTTTGGGAGGCCGAGGTGGGTGGATCACGAAGTCAAGAGATCGAGACCATCCTGGTCATGGGGAAACCCCGTCTCTACTAAAAATACAAAAAATTAGCTGGGCATAGCAGTGTGTGCCTGTAATCGCAGCTACTCAGGAGGCTGAGGCAGGAGAATTGCCTGAACCCAGGAGGCGGAGGTTGCGGTGAGCCGAGATCGCGCCATTGCACTCCAGCCTGGGTAACAAGAGAGAAACTCCGTCTCAAAAAAAAAAAAAAAAAAAAAAAATAGATGACTATATACAGACTAGAAAGATCAAGGCTGTTCTCGGGTTTTGAGAATATAGGGCATTAAAATTATTAGTGAACCAATTAACTAATCAATAGATAATGCAGAAGGGAGTGGAGAAGCAGAGGACCGATCCTGGATCGATGGTGGTCACTGGTGGCGTATGAGTCTTAGACAGTGAACATGTGTCTGAAACTCTGAGGTCTGTTAGAGAAGGTGCGTGGTCCATTCTCTCTGCTTCTACTGATGCTATAGAAATATTTTGCTTTGTGATATTTTCATTCTATTTTTATAATTGGATCAATGTAAGAATCAATAAACAAATACATAAGTAAAGATAAAATGGGTGAAGCAATGTTCTGGTATTTCAGGATATATTATTATTATTATTATTATTTATTTATTTATTTATTTTTGAGATGGAGTTTCGCTCTTGTTACCCAGGCTGGAGTGCAATGGCGCAATCTCGGCTCACCACAACCTCCGCCTCCTGGGTTCAGGCAATTCTCCTGCCTCAGCCTCCTGAGTAGCTGGGACTCCAGGCACGTGCCACCATGCCCAGCTAATTTTTTGTATTTTTAGTAGAGACGGGGTTTCACCATGTTGACCAGGATGGTCTCGACCTCTTGACCTTGTGATTCACCCGCCTCGGCCTCCCAAAGTGCTGGGATTACAAGCTTGAGCCACCGCGCCTGGCCCAGGATATATTATTAATACGTATTGAAAACAGTGAAGTCCAGAGAGAGGTACATGTCTGTTACCTCTTTGGCCAATGATGACACAGATAGTATAATTATAAACAATTTTCAGTTTTTTGGTTAGTGGCAAGTTCAAAATTGTCCATCTTCTTAAGAGAAAATGAAATAAATGCAGTTCAAATAATTACTGTCTAAAGGACTAACTAAATAAAAGGTGAAAGGCAAAGATCAATGGTGATAATGTCTCAAATTCGTTATCATCTTCTCTGCTCTGTACTCCTCAGAATGGACATGCTTGTACTGTTTTAAGAATTCTCGGCCGGGTGCGGTGGCTCAAGCCTGTAATCCCAGCACTTTGGGAGGCCGAGGCGGGTGGATCACGAGGTCAAGAGATCGAGACCATCCGGGTCAACATAGTGAAACCCCGTCTCTACTAAAAATACAAAAAATTAGCTGGGCATGGTGGCGCGTGCCTGTAATCCCAGCTACTCTGGAGGCTGAGGCAGGAGAATTGCCTGAGCCCAGGAGGCGGAGGTTGCGATGAGCCAAGATCGCACCATTGCACTCCAGCCTGGGTAACAAGAGCGAAACTCCGTCTCAAAAAAAAAAAAAAAAAAGAATTCTCCCATGGTCCTCTGTTTGCACTGTGCTTAGGAAGGAGCGTGCAGACCCATGTGAGTAATGGTCAAAGCTCTTGTCTTGGTGGTTTGTTGAAGACTATGTCATATATTATAAAATAGTTTTTAATAGGCCAGGTGTGGTGGCTCACCCCTGTAATCCCAGCACTTTGGGAGGCTGCGGCGGGTGAATCACCTGAGGTCAGGAGTTTGAGACCAGCCTGGCCAACATGGTGAAACCGTGTCTCTACTAAATATACAAAAATCAGCTGGATATGGTGGTGGGTGCCTGTAGTCCCAGCTACTTGGGAGGTTGAGGCAGGAGAATCACTTGAACCCGGGAGGTGAAGGTTGCAGTGAGCTGAGATTGCACCACCGCCCTCCAGCCTGCGCAACAGAGTGAGACTCCATCTCAAAACAAAAGTGTGTAATATGAAGATGGCCAGTGTTATCCCTATGACAGATATGAGAGTTATATAAAGTATTATATTGGTAATGCATAGATGAAAACCTGAGGGCAATTAATAAAACAGACATATCAGTGTTAGAATGATTCTGGATACAGAGATGGAATATCCAGGTTATTCTTGGGTTTTTTTTTTTTTAATCATAGGAACTTAGTAAGTTAACGAGTCAGTCAACAGACAAGAAAGAGTGAGTGGAGACAGAGATGATCCGTCCTAGACTGATGATGACTGCTGGTGGCATATGAGCCTTATACGATGAATATGTGTCTGGAACTCTGAGGTCCAGCACAAAAGAAATTGAGCTCATTCTGTATGTTTGAAATGATCTTATATATAGATGTCAGAGATACAGAATTTGTTTTTGATCTTTGTGTTTACTTATTTTCATTATATTTTTGTAGTTGCTCAATGTGAGAGCCTATATATAATATATATTATATATAAAAAGATAAATAATGTTAATAATTTTCCAACTATAAAAATCTGTAGTGAGGCAGGAAACATTTCATATATATTGAAAACATGATGTCCAAAGAGCAATAAATGGCACATACCTGTCACCTCTTTGGCCAATGATAATATAGCCAGTATAATTATAGACAATGTCCAAATTCTTGGCCAGTAGCAAGATTGAAATTGTTCATTTTCTTAACAGAGAATGACATTACTATGATTAATGAAATTTTCTTAACAGAAAATGAAATTAATATGAAATCCAAATAATTATTGCATAAATGACTAATTATAGGCGAAAAGCAAGGATCAGTGGTGACAGTGTCTCAAATTTGTTATCATCTTCTCTGCTCTGTACTCATCAGAATGGATGTCCTTGTTCAGATTTGAGGATCAGAACACCCTCCAAGGTCACGTACTCTGTTTGCATCCTGCTTAGGAAGGAGCATGCAGACCAACGTGAATAATGGTCAGAGTCCTTACTTTGGTTTGAGTGGTTTGTTTAAGAGTACTCAATGTATTATTTGAAAGTGTGAAATACACTCAAAGATGGCCAATGTTATCCCAATTATATGTGAGTGACATGAAATATTATATTGATGATGCATATATAAAAAACAGGATAATGAAACACATCGAATGTTTCAGTGATTCTGCATACTGATGTGGAATATCAGGAGTGTTATTGGATTTTGTGAATCATGAGCCTTGAAAGTTATTAATGAATAAATGACTTAATCACTAGACAAGGTAGAAATGAACAGCAAAATAGAGATCAGCCCTGATCAATGATGAGTCATACAACAAGTACGTGTCTGGAACTCCGAGGTCCATCACAAATGAAATCTGACCCATTCCTTCTGATTCAAATGATCCTGTGAATATGCAATATGTTTGCTTTTGGTCTTTGGGTTTGTTCACTTCATTCTATTATTACTATCGGATAAATGAAATAATTTATACATGTACATGCACGTATATGAAGGGGATGAAGTATTGTCCAATGATAAAATAAGTGGTGAGGCAAGACATATTATTATTATATTAAAGCTTTTATATATTAAGTAGAAAGTAATATTTATTAATATATATTTAATGAAATATTTAACATGTCAAATATAATAATATGTTAAAATATTATATTAAAGCATTGAAGTCTCAAGCAAAATAAATGTTACATCACTGTAACTTCTTTGACTAAGGATGATACATTTGGTATTTATACATAAAAGTCAACATCTGGGTCAAGGAAAGTTGCAAGGTATTCATTTTCTTAAGAGAAAATAAAATAAGTATCCTTCAAATAATGATTTCTCAAATGTTTTCCCCAAGGGAAGATGACAAGCACTGATCAAGGAGGACTGTCTCGTCTGTTTGTGATCTGCTCTGCTCTGTGAGCCTCGGGATGGATGTTCGCCAGCTGATCCCATGGTTACAAGCTCTGTGGCTGCATCTATGCGTTCGGAGCGTGCAGACCAATGTGAGTCATTGCCAATGCTCCTTGTTTTGAAGGAGCATCGACTATTTGCTGTATTATTAGCATTGTTATTCGCTATATTATAAGAAGTATTAAACACAACAAAAGAGGGTGAAGAATGCAATATTTAAACATTAGATTAAAAACTTTACGTTAATTAATGTGTATGTGAAACATTGAGCTCAGTTAACGAAAGACATTTAATCTTTGTGGAAGTGATTATATGGATGAATGTTAGGGATAGTCAAGAATCTCATTCTTTTTTTGAAGACTTATGTGTATTTCCTCGTTAGTGGCTTAGTCAACAAACAAATTTAGATGGTAATAGAGAAAGAGGGCTGATCCTGGACCAGTGATGGCACCTGGTGGCATATGAGCCATGCACAGTGAATGTCATGTGCCTGAAACTCTGAGGTCCAATACAATGGGATCTAGTCCATTGCCCCTTAGAAACAGATGTCAAGATACAGGATATAGAAGGATCTCCTTCGTGATCTTCCTGCTCATGAATTAAAAATATATTATTGTAAAAGAGTCAAGGGCAGGATGAATAAATAAATGTATAAATGAAGACAATAAGGAGGTGAAGCATTGTTTATTACTAAAATATGTATTATGTAAAATTAATTTTAACTTAAATTGGAATGGATAATATATGCATGGATGAAAGGTATTATGCCTTGGACCAAAAATGACATAGATTGTGACAGGTTATAGTTACTACTTTCAATGACTTGCAACTTTAAATTCTATTTTATTAATAACTATTACCATTAGTTAATAAAAGCCAAAGTTACAATGTAAATGAATGGTGAAATGTATGGATTGATGGAAAGAATGTCTCAATATTTTTATCATCTTCTCTGCTTTGGACTCTTTAGAATGGATGCACTGAGCTGATTTTGAATTTAGCCCTGATCAAGATCCGTGTTGTCCTTACATGAAAGATTTCAATGTGAGTAACAGTCAAGTTCTTGTGTGGTTTGGGTGGTTTGTTTAAGGGTATTTACTGTGTTATTGAAAATAAAAAAAATAGTCAACTAATATATATACGTGTGTGTGTTTGTATATATAATGAATATCAATGATATACTTCAGCTTTGTGAACCATGAATTTTTATAATTATTACACATGAGTTACTGTATTAATCAACAAATAATGTAGATCTGGATGAAAAGAAAGTGGGCCCTTTCTGGACCAATGATGACAAATACCGGCGTATGAGTCTTGGATGATGAATAATACGTGTCTGGAACTCTGAGGTCCAACGCAGAAGAAAGCCATTCCTTTCTGCTCATGTATTTTCCTTCTATTATTGTAATTGGATCAATACAAGAATCAATGAACAAATATATAACTAAATAAAGATGACTCATGTGAAGCATTGTCCAATTATAAAAATAGATGGTGTGGCAAGAAATAATATTAATATATACTGGAAACTCTGAAGTCCAAAGAGAAATAAAAGGTACATGACTATTAAATCTTTGGCTACGTATGATGTGGACAGTAATAGGTAAATATTTGTATTCATTTTCTGGGTCAGTGGCAAGATTGACATTGTTAGCCTGCATAGGAGAAAAATAAGCATTATTACAAATTACTAATTGTATATGACTAATGGAAAGAGGGGTTGAAGGCCAGTGGAAAGAATGTTACAGCCTTTTAAAAATCATCTGCTCTGCTCAGTAATCCTCAGAATGAACGCACTCGAGTTGATTCAAGCACTCTGCCATGGTCATGAGCTCTGTGGTCGCATCTGTGTGTCAGGAGCGTGCAGACCAATGTGAGTAGCAGTCCATGTTCTTATACCAAATCGAACGGTTTTTAGAATGGTATTTGCTGTATTATTTTAAAGTATTAAATATAATCAAATAAGGGAAATCTGTCCATCTTAAGTATCAGATTGATATGAAGCATTATACTGAGTAACACATCTATGCAACAGCTCAGTTAATGAAAGAAATTCAGTCTCTGTGGCAAGGATTATATATATGGATGTTAGGGATATTAAGAATCTAATTCTTATTTTTCTTTCTAGATTTTTGTGTCTTTGTTTGTTCATACATTAATCAATAAACAAATTTAGATAGGAATAGAGAAAGAGGGCTGATCCTGGACCAATGATGACCACCGGTGGGGTCTGAGTCATGCACGGTGAATACTCTGTTTGGAACTCTGAGGTCCAACACAATGGGATCCAGCCTGTTCTTCCTTTGTGAAGGGAGACAGACATCAGGATATGCAAGGTTCTTTTTCAGGATATTTATGTTAGTATTTCAAAAATATTATTGTAAAAGAATCAAGGCAGGATAAATAAATGAATGTATAAATGAATAGAGGAGAGTGAAGCAGTTTTTTGTTGCTAAAATACGTAACAAAGAAAATGAATTAGGCTGGGCGGAGTGGCTCACACTTGTAATCCCAGCACTTTGGGAAGCCGCAATGGGAGGATAACAAGGCCAGGAGTTTGAGACCAGCCTGGCCAATATGGTGAAACCCCATCTCTACTAAAAAATACAAAAATTAGCCAGGCATGGTGGCACACACCTGTAGTCCCAGCTACTCAGGAGGCTGAGGTAGGAGAATCGTTGGAACCCGGGAGACAGAGCTTGCAGTGAGTTGAGATCATGCTATTGCACTCCAGCCTGGGCAACAGAGGGAGACTCTGCTTCAAAAACAGCAACAACAACAACAACAACAAAACCCTGAAAATGGATTATTAGTGTAAGTTAGAACGGATAATACATAGAACAAGTTAATTATGTCTTGGGCTAAAGATGACATCAACTGTGATGGATAATAATTATTATTCTCAGTCGGTTACAAGTTTGAAGTTCGTTTTATTAAGAGAAAAACAAATAAATGTTTCCATAAATTATTATTATTATTATTTTGAGATGGGGGTTCTCTCTTGTTGCCCAGGTTGGAGTGCAGTGGCACAATCTTGGCTCACTGTACCCTCCACCTCCTGGGTTCAAGTGATTCTCCTGCATCAGCCTCCCAAGTGGCCAGTATTACGGGCACCTGCCCCTACGCCCAGCTAATTTTTGTATTTTTAGTAGAGGCGGGGTTTCGCCACATTGGCCAGGCTGATCTCAAACTCCTTACCTTAGGTGCTTCACCCACCTCGACCTCCCAAAGTGCTGGAATTACAGGTATGAGCCCCTGTGCCCAGCCCCATAAAGTATTAAAAGCCCAAAAGATGATACAAACAGATGGTGGAATGTATCAGTCAGTGGAGAGAATTTCTCAATGTTTTTATCATATCCTCTGCTTTGTATGAAGATGGATCAGAATGGATGCAGCAAGTGGACTTGGTGTTCTAGTATGATGGAAACTTGTATTGCTGTTGTGTCTGGAAAGCAGCTAATGTGGGTAATAGCCAGAAGCTTTGTCTTCCTTTGGGTACTTGATTAAAGGTATTCACAGCATTATTTAAAAAAATTAAATTATTCAAAATTTAACCATGGCCTAATGGCAAACATAATACAGAACATGTATTTATTTGTTAATCAATAATGTGCCACATAGAGGTGGATTAATGAAAGCGACGTTGTCAACGTGGAAAAGGATTCTCTAGACAGGTGTTTGCTATGTCAGGCATCGTGTTTGTAGATTTTTGTGAATCATGTTCTTATTTTACTCGTAGAAATTGATTAACGATTCATTCAAAACAAAAGTAGAAATTATGAAAATTGAGACCAGTGACAGCATGAGCCCCATACATGGAAAAAACATGTCTGGACTTCGATGTTCAACATGAAAGACGTGTCATCCATGTTCTTGAGATAAGGCGCTGTCTAGGCCCATGTTGGGACTATCCAAAGATCTTGGGCTTGATCTTTGTGTTCATATATTTTGATTCTATTATTATAATTGGATCAACGAAAGAACCAATCAATAAGTAAATTAATGAAGTATTGTTCAAATTAAAAATATGTGGCGAGCAAAGAAACACTACTAATATATTAGAAAAACACTCAACTTCAATTTGAAATAACTTTCACATGACTCTTACCTCCTTAGCTCAGAATGGTGTAAGTTACAGACAATATTCATGTTCTGAATAGATGGCAATTTTGAATTTGATCATTCTCTTAAGATAAAACACTCTAAATTTATGATTACTTAAATGACTGACTAAAGGTAAAAAGCAAGAATCAATGGAGAGAATGGCTCAGATGTCTCTTCTCCTTCTTCTTTTTTAAAATCATCTGTTCTGTCCTGTTTTTCTCACACTGGACCCATCTGAACTGATTTAAGAATTCTCCCCATGGTTCTGACTGTACGGTTGAATCTCCATTAAGAGCCTGGAGACCAATGTGAGTAAGAGTCAACATTTTTGTCATGGGTTGGGTGGTTTGTTGAAGGAAGTTCACTGTATTATTAAAAAGTGTGAAATATAATCACAAAAGGCCTAATGGAAACATCATCATTTGGGATTAACATGAATCATTATACTGATTAATGCATGCATGAAAAACCGAGATAAATAAAAAAAGTTATATACTGATGTGTGAATAAGGATGGATACCTAAAAAATAGGTAGGGTTTTTTTTGGAGGTTTGTGAATCGTAGGCTTTAAAAAATATTATCAGTGAATTTATGAATTAATCAATAAACAACGTGGTGAAGAATGGAAAGAAGGCGAGCCTTCCTGGACCAGTGAGGCCAGCTGCTGGTGTGTAAGCATTAGGTGATGAATAATGCACCTCTGGAACTCTGAGGTCCAACACACAAAACACCTCAGTAAGCAAGGGTCGGTGGAGGAATATCTAATTTTAAAAAATCATCTTCTCTTTTTTGTACCCTTCAGAGTGATAATCTCAAGGTGATTTACGCCTTCTTCCATGGCCACCAGCCCTGTGGTTGCACCTCTGTGTCAGAGCTTAGAGATCAATGTGAGTAATAGTCCAAGTTCTTGCTGTAGTTTAGGTGGTTTAAGATATTCACTGCATTGCCAAAAATTGTGAAATATAATCACGTAAGGCCCACTGTTAGAAATGACAAATATGAAATTAATATGAAACATTATATTGATTAATATGTGTGTGAAAAGCTGAGAATAATTAATGCAGAAGATATATTGAGATAAGATGATAGTATATCCAGATTAAGAACATCGAGGCTGTTCTTGGGGTTTTTTGAATCCTAGGGTTTTAATTTACTGTTAGTGAACTAATGATTAAATCGACAGACAATAGAGAAAAGAATGGAGAAAAGGAGGCCCAGTCCTGGATCGATGATGACCACTGGTGGCGCATGAATCATACATGATGAATGTGTGTCTGGAACTCTGAGGTCCTTCACAAAAGAAATTGGGTCTCTTTTTTCATGCATTGTTACGTTATTATTATGACTGGGTCAATGAAACAATCAGTAAACAAATATATAAATAAATAAAGTTAAAAAGGGGGAAACATTGTCTATAAAAATTATAGTGAGACACGGAATTTTGTTACTATATCCAGAAAACACTGAAATCCAAAGAGAGGGAAATGGTGCATAGCTGCTCATTTTGGCAAAGGATGATATGGACAGTATTAATAATGTCTTTGTTCTGGGTCAGTGGCAGGTTCAAAATTGTTCATTTTAAGAGAAAAGGAGATAAATATACTCCAAGTAATATTACCTGAATTAATGACTAAATGGAAGATGCTAAGCAAGGATCAGTGGAGGAATGTCTCATTTTTAAATCATCTTTTTTGCTCCATACTCCTCAGGATAGCTGCTTTTCAGGGGATGCGATCTCATCCCTGCCCACCAGCGTGTTGGCTGCATGTCTGTGTTAGAGTATGAAGACCAATGTGAGTAATAGTCAATAGTCTTTGTTGGTGTAGATTTTTTACACAAAGGTATTTCCTTTATTATTAAAATGTACTAAACATAACCAAAGAGGCCCAAACATGCCAATTTTACTGACAGATTGATAGACTTATTATAGTGATTGGTCAATATATGGACCAAAGAAGGTCATTGCCACGGAAGACAGTAATGAAGAGATTTAGTCTGTGGAAATGAATCTGTAGATGAATGTTAGGAATCTTTATGAATATCATTCTTATATTTTCTGACTGATGTGTATTTCTTATTAATGAATTAATAAATAGATAAATTTGTATTAGTGTGAAATCAAAGAGATCCTGGACCAATGATGATGACCGGTGGGGTCTGAGTCATGCACAGTGAATACGTGTCTGGAACTCTGAGGTCCAACACAAATGGGATCTAATCTGTTCTCCATTTCGAAGGGAACTCATGCACAGATGTCAGAATCTATAAGGGTTGTGTTCTTGATATTTGTGTTCATGAATTTAAAAATATTATTGTAAAAGAATCAAGGGCAGAATAAATAAACACATGTATAAGTTAATAGGAATGAAGACGGTGAAGCATTGCCTATTACTAAACTTCATAGTAAGGTAAATTAATATTAATAGAAATGGAATGGGTAATAAATTGATCCAGGATTTTATGTCTTGGACTACCAATGACATAGACTGTAATAAGTGATAGTTCTTGCTCTCATTCAGTGCAAGTTTTAAAGTTTATTAAGTGAAAAATACATAAATATTCCATAAATTAATAAAAGCCCAAAAGACAATATCAACAGACGGCAGACAACGTCAATCAATGGAGAGAACATCTCAGTGTTTTTAAATCCTCTCCTGTGCTTTCTACTCTTCAGAATTGATACAGCAAGGTGTTTCAAGCATTTTGTTGGGATCAAAATTTTTGTGTTGGCTCAGTGTTTGGAAAGAGACCAAGGTGAGTTATAGTCAAAGTTCTTATCTTGGTTTCAGTAATTTGTTTGAGGATATTCTTGGTATTATTATAAAATGTATTAAATTGTTCAGTTAGAGAGGAGAAATAAGTTCAGAGAAATATTATACAACATGATGACTATAGTTAGTGTTATCCATCATATTCTTGAAAAATGCTAGAGAGTAGACGTTAAGTGTTCTCACCACAAAATGATCACTATGAGATGTAATACGTATGTCAATTAGATAGGTTTAGTTGTTCCACAATGTAAGTATATTTCAGAACATCACGTTGTGCATGGTAAATACATACAATTTCCTCTGTCAATCAAAAAATTAAGAAGTATTAAATGAATACAAAGTTAATCCCGGCTCAGTGATGAGCGTGACATGAAACAGTATGTTGTTTAATTTATCGTGTGCAACATTGTGGTCAATTAATGAAAGCCATCTAGTCTATGTTGAAAATGACTCTGTAGATGTTGTAGATATTCAAAGACCTTGTTGTTGGCTTTGTCTGAACCACGTATTAATGTCAATAATATGATCATTTAGCTGATAAAAATGTAGAAACACACGAAGGAGAGGAGACACAGTCATGGACCAATGATGACAAATGGTGGCATTGGAGTTACGGACGATGAGTAATATGTGTCTGAAACTCTGAGGTCCAACACAACACATAGTTATTCTATTCCCTCTGTTGAAATTGACTTACACAGAAATATCAGGAATATATAGACAATATTCATGTATTGATTCCATAGATTATTTGTTATTATCAATGGATCGATGATAGATTCCTTAAACGAATACAAATTAATGTATAAAGGACAAGAGGGTCAAGCATTGTCCAACTATGAACATATGTGTGGAGGCAAGAAATACTATTAATCAAAATTTAAAGCACTTACATTCATTTACAAATAAATGAATAAAAGATATTACTACTTTTGGTAAGAATTACATAGAAATTGATAGGTAAGAGTTGATTTTATTGTTCTGGGTAATTCTCATGATAGATGTATTCCTTTGCATAAGATATACACACACACACACACACACACATCTATGTATGTATATACACACACAGAGCAAATAAATAATAGATACCTAAGTGACCTAGTAAATGAAATGCAGAAGGCAGGAATCAAGAATCAATGGTGATAATGTCTTAATTTTTTTATCATTTGCTCTGCTTCATACTCTTAGAATGGATGCTGTCATGGCCACAAGTTCTGTAGTTGCCTCTCTATATTAAGAGCACAGAGACTTAAGTGAGTAATGGCTGACGTTCTTTTCTTGGTTTCACTATTTCTTTTATCTTAAGATTATTCACTATATTATTAAAAAGTGTGAAATATAATGAATGTGATTGTAACTCAGTGATAAATATGGGATGTATGAAACATTGTATCGATTAATGCATATATGCAAAATAAGAGAATGAAACTGATATGTTGATGTGAGAATAATTCTGTGTAGCAATTTAGGATATAAGGACTCTTCTTGAGTTTTTGTGAATAATAACATTATCATTTTATGATTTAATGAATTAATCAATAAACAAATGTAGGTGACAATAGAGCAGAAGGGCCAATCCTGGATCAATGATGACTACTGGTGGCGTATGAGTCAAAGACGATGAATACGTGTCTGGAACTCTGAGGTCCCACGTGAAAGAGATATAATTCATTTACTGTGGTTGGATGGCCCTGCAGACAGTTACCGGGAACATACAAGGATCTTGGTTTTGGTCTTTGTGCTCAGGCCTTTTCATTCTATGCAGAGAATGTCTCAATTAAAAAAAAAACTTTTTACCCTTTTCTCTGATTTATATTTCTCAGAATGGACTCACTCAAGCTGACTTAAGAATTTCTCCTTGGTCACAAGATTTTTAGTTGCATGTCTGCATTAGGAACCTAGAGAACAATGTGAGTAGTAGCTAAAGTTCTCGACTTGTTTTGCATGGTTTGTTTATGGGCAGTCACCGTATTATTAAAAAGTGTGAAATACAATGAAAGAGGGTGAGCTGTAGCTTAGTGATAAGCACAGGATTACTATGAGGTATTATATTGTTTAGTGCATACATGAAATACTATAACTGTTATTAGTGTAAGAGATATTGAAGTGAGAAGGATTCTAAGTACATGTTTGGGATATAAATCTCTTGTATTTTTGTGAATCACAGAGTTTTAAAATTATAATTACTAAACTGATGAATGAATAACTTGGAAACGAATTGAGGAAAAGTGGGCCCTTCCTGGATCAATGATGAAAATTGCCAGCGTGTGCGTGTTGGATAATGAATTATATGTGTGTGGAATTCTGACGTCCAACACAAAAGGAAAGTGATGTTTCTTTTCATGCATGTTCATTCTGCTATTGTAATCGGGTTGATAAAAAGAATCAATGAGCAAATATAAAAGTAAATTGAGATAAAATAGATGAAGCATTGTCCAAATATAGAAATATGTGACAAGGCAAGAAATACTAATACTGTATGTTGAAAACATGAAATTCAATGAGAAATTAATGATATGTGACTTTTACCTCTTTGGCTAATGATGACACGAGCAGTTTAAATTATAGACAGTGTTCATGCCCTGAGTCTGTGGCAAATTTGAAGTTGTTCATTTGTAGAGAAAATGTAATATCCTCCCAATTAATGATTGCCCTAATTACTGGTTAACTGTTAGACACGAAGCAGGGAACAATGGCTATAAGGTCTCAAATTTTTTTTTTTTTTTTTTTTGAGACAGAGTTTCGCTCTTGTTACCCAGGCTGGAGTGCAATGGCGCGATCTCGGCTCACTGCAACCTCCGCCTCCTGGGTTCAAGCAATTCTCCTGCCTCAGCCTCCTGAGTAGCTGGGATTACAGGCACGTGCCAACATGCCCAGCTAATTTTTTGTATTTTTAGTAGAGACGGGGTTTCACCATGTTGACCAGGATGGTCTCGATCTCTCGACCTCATGATCCACCCGCCTTGGCCACCCAGAGTGCTGGGATTACAGGCTTGAGCCACCGCGCCCGGCCAGGTCTCAAATTTTTTTGTCAATAGTCCTACTTTGTGCACCTCAGAGTGGACTTACCTGAGTTGTCTCAAGCACCCCATTCATGCCCTTGGGCCGTGTGGTTCCATTGGTGTGTTAGGAGCTTGGAGGCCATTGTGAGTAATAGTCAATGTTCTTGGCTTGAGTGCTTTTTTAAAGGATAATCACTATAGTATTAAAAATCATACAATATATTAAAGAAGACCAACTGCAATCCAGTGACAAATATGAAATTGGTATGAAGTAGTCTACTGATGAATTCATTCCATTAATTCATTTAAGAAAACGGAGGATATTTAGTAAAGGAGTTACATTGATCTGAGAATGATTCTGTACACGTATTAGGGATATCAAGGCTTTTTTCAGGTTTTGTACATTGTAGCACTTTAAACATATCAGTAAATTACTAAATTAATCAATAAACAATGTAGAAATAAATGAAGAAAAGATGAGCCATTCCTGGACTAATGATGATGACTGGTGGTGTATGAGTCAAAGGTGATGGATAATAAGTGTCTTTGTTAGGGGTAAGTTCAGAATTGTTTGTTTTAAGAGGCTATGAAATAAATATATTCCAGATAACGATGATTTAAGTGACGAAATGAGAGATGAAAAGCAAGGGTCATTGGAGAAACGCTTGAATTTTGAGATCATCTGTTCTGTTGCTACTCCTCAGAATGGACCCACTTCCACTGATGGAAGCATTCTTCCATGGCCTGCGCTCTGTGGCTGCCCCTGTGTGAGGGACATGCAGACCACTGTGAGTGTACAGACCATTTCCTCTCTTTGCAAGCTCCGCTAAGTTGGTGTCAGTGATATACAAGAATTGTTGTGTTCATGCGTTCTTAAAAGTTGTAAGGAATCACTGATAGAGTACATAGATAAACAAATACATAATGAATAAACATCAAGGTGGTAAAGCATGCTCATTGTTAAAATATACAGGAGGAAAAAATACTATTAATTTAAATTGGAATGAATACATTGGAACAAGCGTGTTTTGTCTTAGACTAATGGTGATCACAGAAAGGGACAAGTAACCATTTTTTATCTGATTAACTTGTGTATTTCATGTTTGATTTATTAAGAGAAAGAGAAATAAATACTGATAAAAATTTATAAATGCCTGAATGACTCTATAAAAGGATGGAGGAATCTGTGGGTCAATGAAGAGAATATGTAGTCATCTCCTGTGCTCTGATTGGCTTATTCTTCCATGGTCACAAACTCCGTGTGTTAGGAGCAGAGAGATCAGCATCAGCAATGGTAAAAATTACCTTGGTTTGAGTGAAGTCAAAGGAGGTCAGTCATGCTGATGTTTTATTTCAGATTGATATGAAGTATTACATTGATTAATGCCCATGTAAAAAACTTAATTCATATAGAGAAAGGGATTTAGGATGTTTGTGATAGTATAGATAAATGTGAGTGATATTGAAAACCTTTTTTTGTGTGCTTTATGTGTATGTCCTTATTAATGAATTACTCAGTAAACAAGTGTAGATAAGAATGAAGAAAAAGAAGGCCAATCCTGGACCATCAAATGACAACTGGTGGCTTATGTGGTTGTATATGCTGGTTGTATATGAAGAATAGTACGTATCGGAAAGTTTGAGGTCCAACACAAATAGAATCTAGTCTATTCCCATGTTTAAAGTGATATGATAGATACCTGAAATCTACAAGGAGTTTGTGGTTAGTCTTGTGTGCATGAGTTTTAAAAATATGGTAAAAGTAGCAATGGCAGAATAAGCAAATAAATGTGCAAATAAAATAAATAAAACGAAGAGGACAAAGCATTGTTCATTGCTAAAATATGCAGTAAGGAAAATACTGTTAGTATACATTGGAATGGATAATCACTGGATAATACTTCTGACTAAAAATGATGGAGACAATAATAATAATTACTTACAAGAGCCAGCTACTGCCCCGTCAATTACAAGTTTGAAGTTTATAAGAAGAAAAATAAATCAATATTACCATAAGTTAATAAATACCTAAATGACTAACTGAATGAAAGAAATTACAGATGAGTGCACAGAATATCTCAAACTTTTCATCATGATCTCCACCTAGAACCCTCCAGTGAAGATGCTGTTACCTGATTTGAGCACTCTGCAATTGATCAAGTTGCTCATGTTAACTCTATTCAAAGAGACCCGTGTGAATATAGCCAATGTTCTTGTCTTGGCTTCAGTTGTTTGACGGTATTCGTGGTATTATGAAAAATTATTAATCAAATAGCTGTTTATGGCTTGATAATAAGTATAATGTGAAATATGATGTTGATTAATCACTAATGTTGACATCATTAAATGAAAAAGATGTATATGGGAAACGGTTGTATTGATAGCTGTTAGTACTATTCTAGCGTTTATTTTCGCATTTTTCTGACTCACTCATTTTCAGTGAATCCATGATTCAGTATCTGCAAATGTAAGATTGAATGAAGAAAAAGTTGGCCAATGAGTATGCCTAGAACAATGATTACAAATAGTGGTGCAGGAGTCGTAAACTATGAGTAGTGTATGTGTGGAGCTCTGAGCATCAACACAAAATGTGATTAGTCTATTCCTTCTGTTCAGAATAATCCTATAGACAGATGTTTGGGATACATAAAGACCATGTTCTTATTTTAGATTCTTAGATTTAGGTTTATTAGTATTAAGGAATTAATGATAGAACCATTAAACAAATATAAGTTAATAAATAAAATTGAAGAGAGTGCAGCACTGTCCAGCTATAAAAATATATAGGGAGGCAATCAATATTATTAACACAAGTAGAGAAAACTAACATCCATTAAGAAAATAGCAGACCAAAGATGTTCCCTCTTTCTTTGGCTTAAGGTCATATAGACACTAATAGGATCAATTTTATTGTTCTGAACCAATTCTTCTAAGTTTGAGGTTGTTCCTTTTGTTAAGAGAAAAAACATGTACTTTATGGAAAATTATGAATTACCTGAATGATTGAGTAAATGAAATGCAGAAAGCAAGAATTAGAGAGGATGAAGTGTCTGTTTTTAAAAATATTGACTCTGTTTTGTCTTCATTAGAATGGGTGCACTTGAGCCAACTGAAATATTCCTTTATCATTTGTTCTATGGTTGCATCTATTCGTTAGTAGCATAGAGTAGTCATTAAAATTCTTCTCTTGGTTTGAGTGGTTATTTCAAAATATTCAATGAATTACTAAAAAAGATGTAATCAAAGACAGCCAGTGATATTCTAGCAATAAATACGGGAGTCGTGTGAAGCATTATATTGATAATGCATCTATGAAAACAGGATAATGAATGAAACAGCTATATCCATCTTAGAATGACTCATGGTAGGGATTAGGAATCTCTAGGCTCTTGTTGGGATTTCATGAGCCATGATTTTAAAATTTATGATTAGTGGATTAATAAATCATTAATAAGCAATTACAAGTGAATGGAGAGAGAGCACCTGTCCTGTGGACGATGATGACTACTGGTGGCATATGAGTCATGTTCAATGAATATGTGCCTGGAACTCTGAGGTGCATCACAAAAGAAATCTACCCCATTTCCTGTTTGATACAGTTCTTTAGGCGGATATCACGAACATGGAGTGGGTTTGTTTTTGGTCTTTGTACTCATAATTTTTATTCTATTTTTATTATTGGGTTAAAGTGAGAATCAATAAACAAATATAAACAGAAATAAAGATATATTCGGTGAAGTGTTGCCCATTTATAAAAATAGGCAGTGAGGCAAGAAACACTATTAATATGTATTGGAAATAGTGAAGTTCAAATTAAATGGTACATGTCTGTCACTTCTTTGGCTAATAATGATATAGAGAGGGTAACTGTAGACAGTGTTTATGTTCTGGGTCAGTGGCAAATTCAAAATTGTTCACCTTCTTAAGAGAAAGTAAAATAAATATGCTGTACTCTAAATAGTGGTAGCCTAAATGACTAAAGAAATGTAAAAAGCAAGGATCAATGGTGACAATGCCTCAAATTTGTTATCATCTTCTCTGCTCTGTACTCCTCAGAATGGATGTCCTTGTTCTGTCTTGAGAATTCCTGTATGGTCACATGCTCTGTTTGCACCATGCTTAGTAAGGAGCATGTAGGCCAATGTGAGTAATGGTCAAAATCCTCATTGTGGTTTAAGAGTAATCAATATATTAAAAAGCGTGAAATACCATCAAAGATGGCCAGGGTTATCCCAATGGTAGACATGGGAGTGGCATGAAGTATTATATTGATAATGCATGTATGAAAAACTGAGGATAAAGTACAGACCAGAAATACCAAGTCTGCTCTTGGAGTTTTTCGAATCATAGGCTTTGAAGTTATTATTAGTGAATTAATGAAGCAACCACTGGACAAGGTTAAACTGAATGGGGAAAAGGAGGGCCAATTCTGGATCGATGATGACCACCGGTGGCGTATGAGTCATCTGTGATAAATACGTGTCTGGAACTCTGAGATCCATCACAAGAGACCTACTCCATTCTCTCTGTTATACGTGATTCTGTAGGCTGATGTCAGGAAGATAGAATGAAGTTACTTGGTTTTATTTTCATTCTAATGCAAGAATCAATAAACATATAAGTAAAGATAAAATGGGTGAACATTTTGTAGCTATAAAAATATGTGGTTAGGCAAGAAATACTATGAATGTATATTGAAATCGGTGAAGTCCAAAGAGATATTGTACATA